AGCACAGGCATATCCGGAAGTTTATCGTCTTCTTTCGAATCGAAAAGTGCTGGAAGAGTAGCTTGACGTCCAGAAACCTTCTCTCCTTTCTTTACTGCCCTTTGTTCTGCTCTTGTTCGTTTTCTTTCCTCTTCCTCGATAGCCTTGTTGACCTTGGCACTAACAATCTTTGTCAAACGTTCATTAATCTTTCGCTCACAATAGCCTGTAAGTCCACCATCGTGATTTGGAATATAATGCCATAAGAACAGTAGATAGAACAAGATTGCGAGGATAAGACTTAAAGCGGAAAAGATCCAGATGACAAGCGTGAAGATCATACCAGACAAGATGACTGCTTGTTGATGTTCTTGTTCCGCAAGAATTCCAACCTTCTTGAAAAAGGTCAACAGGGCATCTCCAACATCATTGGACTCAGTAGGGTCGAGTTTTGCATGAAAGACTGAGTATAGAGTTAACGCGTTGATGACTTGACGAGGTCCTTGACAGAATACGACACGAATCCAAGCTATCAATGTTAGTGATGAAAATTTAGGGGTCCTTTGTGACGTACATTGAAAAGCGAAGTATGTAAATAGCGCAACATATTCGGTTCCCTTTTTAGATTTCGTCAATTCGGCAAAAACCAAGAATCTTCTCCAACCTCGACCCCTCTGTCCCATCTTGATACTTTCAAGGCGAACAGCAAGATTGTCCAAATAACTTTCGGCAACAGCCCCTCGTCGCATAACTCTCCATGCTCGTAAATGTTCGAATCCAATATTAACCCAAGAAGCAATAATACATCCAGAAAAGATCCACTTCGAAACATTGAGAGGAATAATTGGTTGAATCTCACCAGACCATCGATTGAAAGCTAAGAGGTTAACGGCGGTGAAAGTGTCTACACCATAAACGGCGGTAGATATAGCCAAAGAAATCCAAAGATATGCATATGCGAAAGGAGTGAGACAGGATGTGGATTTGAAATCGTTAAGACTCTGTCAAAAAGAATTAGTAAATTGCCGTACCCAACGACATTCCAAACCTTACGATAAAGTCCCATTTCTGCTCAGGACGTAGGTCATCTTTATTCACACGTCTTGAAAAAACCCCCATATTTGAGATAGTAAAGGGTATATCTTTTAATTAAATTCGTTTGGCTCTGCCGCGATGACAATTGATATACTGTCGAAGCACCTGGCTAGAAAAGAAGGAATCGTAACCTGTAAGGTTGTGTTGGATATTTCGCAATGGGCGAGTCTCTTCGATATAATGAAGGTAGAGTTATTTTTGATGCACTTGTCGTTCTCCGCCTGCGAAGTATCGACTTGTGCAGGTCAAATGAGGGTGATGTACAATTGATATGTCGATTCAATATTCATGTACTTGGTCGTATGAATGATATCAATCGAGGACGAATATGAAAAAGGTAAGACACCGATTAGTCCTTGGATGGTAAAGATCGAATGAACGGGGAACGGGGTACAAACGTCCACGACAGTAGGATGGTGGATATAAGTTTTCGGGTCGACCGTGGCTTAAAGCTGAGCAAGGAAGCACAATAGAGAAGGTAAAGAGTGGCTGGTTCTATTGTTAAATCATATTTTCGTTGATCAGTGACAAATTCACGAGAAGGTGGAAGTGAATGCGAATGCGACGAGACTATTCACTATTCATGCGATTTGAAGCGATCCAAGCCAATGAATGGTATCAAAATGTTCTAAATTGAAGATCAAATTGACATTGCTTGAATTGATCGATACAATTGAACGGGTAATTGTTTTTTCTTCTTTTTTCTTTTTTGGTCTTCTGGTAAGATGTCTTTCTGATTGTGTTACTCTGAAGCGCGCGGGTTTGATCGTCCTTCGACAGGTACCTTGAAATTGGTATGGATGGGGTCGTTAGGAATTGGTCGGAAGTTGGCAGTCGAAATTGAGCTTCTTTCTTTTCGTCAGCCAAGGAAAAGTTGCAGTACAAATGCGATTGACGAGATATATCGTGATCTCCAAAATGAATGACAGAATTGCAATCAAGAACGAATGTTGAGTGAGTGCGTGTGGTGCGTGTGGTGCGTGTACAGCTCTGTTGCTCTCTCCCTCTCTCGAATTATCCCACGTAAGATATTGAATCGTAGCAAAGTCCAGCTTGTATTCCGATGATCTTATTCTAAAGGATTCTGAGCTCGGATGTCTGTTTTATGAGTAGAAACGGTGGGTGTGATGGGATGAAGACAGGTAGTAGTAGTTGCGAAAGAAGTGATGAACAAAAGTAGAGAAAGAGGTTCGTAGGAGCGTCGTTTGAGCGTTTGGAGTTTGCTTTGCTCGGGAAGAGATTGAGGTGAGGGTTGGAGGAGAGAGTGATAAGTGGTGGACAGTCAATGGATGAATGGATGAATGAATGAATGAATCCATGAATCAATGAATGAGTGGATGGATGATTGAAGAGTGGAGTGCAGTCAAGCGCAGTGCTGTGCAGTGGTGTAATGCCGTGAGACAAGTTTAGGGTGTAGGTACCTACCTAGTCTGTGTTCTGTGTCTGCTCGTACCGTTCTGTGGCTGTTGGGTGGCTGATCATGTAAAGTTCTAATGCAGGGGAAGAAGCCAAGCAAGAAGAAATGTCGCCGGTGTTTGATGTCACTGAGTACAAAGTGAAGTGAGTAGCATTCTCAAGAGAAGTTTTCCATGGCCATTCTCATATTAGCAATCAGTGGATGGAAAGATGCATTTCATGGTCTAGTTTATTGATATGAAGCATTTGATGTGATTCATGTGAAGCTTCACGTAATTCCCAGATGGATTGTTCCGCGCAGACCATTTCACACCTCTCTCATTCCATACCTCTCTCATTTCACACTTCTCTCATTTCACACCTCGCTCATTTCACACCTCTCTCATCAAAAAGTTCCTTTCCCTTCCTTCAGTATTCAAGGATTCCCCCCCCCAACCACAGATAACCAGTACCAGTTAGGGTGGAAAGAGTGGGGTCAGCAAGGCACGAAACCACGAGGGAAGAGATCCAAAAGATAAAAAGAGAGATAAATCCCTCGATAAGGATAATGAGATCCGTTATTAATCTGGGGGAAATAGTAATTATTATCATTGGTCGATAATACTTTTGGATTTATTTAACTGGGTAATCACACCAAGCACTTGCTCTAAAATGACATAGTGAAACTCCATAATCTTCCATCTCAGCCAATCGAATTACTTTGGTGCCTTGAATTCAATCAATGACCCCTGACGGTGCATTATTTAAGTCAGGTAGGTACCCTACCAGTGCTTCCACGCCTACTTCGTACTCTGTACAGTACCCCGAATCCGAAGTTCACCAATCGATAGCATCAACCATATTAAGACCATTCCCCCCCCTTTTTCCCTGCTCATTGTCTTTTCTCCCTCGTTTCAAATAGAAAAAAAGAAAATAATCAGTCTTTCCTTACACAGATTACCTGGCATTTTTCAAGGAATCGATTTCAACTTGGTAATACCATATACGATAGATATACATACGTACCGGTACTCCGTATATCAATCATAATAAATGAAATGTCAATCACCCCGTGAATCTCAAAAAAAAAAAAAAAAAAAAAAAAAGTCCCGAAAGTTCCTTTAAATCCACCAAATCCACCGAGTCCACACCCAGAAAAGATTCTACGGAAAAGTCTTAAACCTTTGATCAAGCTTCTAACTTTATTACTACCGCCATTCTATCTTATCCTATCCTATCCATTCCATCCCATCCTCTACATCCACTACCCGTTGTCAAGATCATTCAATACTGCAATCGAATGGAGAACAAATCAACCAATTCTAAACACTCTACTTCTTGACTTCTTTACATAGTACAATGGCTACTTCAAACTAATTGGATATCAGCTTGCATTGATCTACCTATCAAATGCATACATCATGAAACATTGGGGAAACATCAACTCTATTGAAAGTGAAGAATGACAAAGGGGATAGAGTACGGTACCGGAATGTTCGATAAAGAAGCGAATGGAACACGTCGTGGCTCGTATGGGCGATGGAGATGATCAATAGTACGAATTCCGAACGAGCCCAAAAAGTTAATCATTCTTCCCGCGCAACGAGCTATGGGGGTTTGGGGGCTGGCTCCCATTTGTCGGATCGTATAATTCAATCGAATGATACTCCGCTGGTCTATTTCTATCTGTGAAGGGCCACTTTCCATGTACAGAGTAGAACAGTGAACATTGGGAACGACGTTCTGCTAGCCTTCGTTAATCATGCTTTTGAATAAAGAGAAAATGGTCATCCTTTCAATATGGAGTGTGAGGAGATTCCCTGGAGAAACTTAGCAGACTGTGAGGAAGAGCGATGAAGTTTTGGGACGATGTGACAGGAATTCAACCGATGTGACGCTCCACTGCCCCCCCCCCCTCCCCCGAAGGCTTGGAGACTGGTGGGTAGAGGAGATGGTAACAAACTATTTACATTTTGCATAAGACATAATTCTATAGAATGACTATATAATTCAGATGAAATGACGCTCCGCTGGCCCCTCCGGGAGTGGCAGACTATTACTTTGTGATCTTATATTTTCGAATAAATATAGGAAATACCATATATATAAGAGTTTGAAGGGTTTTGAAGTTTTCAAAGGGGGAATATCCTGGAGAAATTTGGAAGGTTTTCGAATTCAACTGTGAACAATACGCTGAATGATATGATTCAATCGACATGACGCTCCGCTGGCCCTCCGGGGGCCACTGCCGTGGTGGCAGACTAGGTGTTCTATTCATAAAAGAAGAGATCAATATACCATTAGAAGAAGCTTCAATTAGTCCTATCTAGTCTGATAGTTTCACATAGTAAATTTGATTGTCTAGGTACCATCTACCATCTAACACCAACCCACATTTCCTGCCAAAGCGGTAACCATATCAAAATTTACAGAAATCATGTGATAAGCTTGAACTCGAGCTCTGAGATATACGACCTCAAAACATCCCACTACATCCCACAATTGGCAATTTTTATACCCTTCAAAATCCAATGTTAATACCATCAACAGTCCGATCGTCAATACGGTCAATAAACAAATCCAGACATAGATTCCGTCCATCATTGTTTCAACAGCAATACCGTACCATTAAACTATTTCTTTACGCCGCAACTCCAAGTCAAGTCGGATCACAAAAACTGGCAAACTACGATAAATTCATTATCAGTGATCCTGAATCATGCAATCTTCAGTTGATAAACCCGGATTCAATTGTCTACGAAGCTCAAGATGACAAGAAAGGAACAATAGCTATAGTCAAACCAGACCCTTCATATAAGGAAACAAACTTGAAGTGGGTTCTTGACAATTGCATTCAGCATGGAACTTTTCTTGCAAAACCAGAGAATCAGCAGAATTCAACTCAATATTATTTACAGAAAGTTCCGGATCAAGAACTCAGAGGAAATGTCTCATTCCAATCCGGTCTGAAAAATGCACCAGGAGGTGACGCCTCTGCCCGTCGAGTCAAACAACTCATTTTTACTCCGACACATGACTGGGTATTTATACAAAGGCAACTCAAAGTCGCTCGAGAATGGTTAGAGTTTTCGAAGCGGGCAGTGGTAGAGGTTCATGTGTCTCCGAATCGTAAGAAGGATGTCATCAAAAATGAGGAGGTGGGAAAATTTCCCGATTTATATTTGCATTTACGGCCTGATGTTATCGCAAAGGCTATGCCTACAGGAAGCCGAATCATCATAGAACCACAAACGGATGGTTACGAATATTGTTGGGTTATGTCTAGAAATGGTTCTGAATGTAAGAAATTGTCGAATACGTTTGAGAATAAGAAGATATTGGAAAAGGAAAAGCAAACATTGCTTAAAGATCAGACTAAAAATGCAAAAGGGAGATGAAAGCTCACTCAAAGACAAGTCAGATGGGAAAAATATATAAAAATGGCGAATAAAGGTAATGATAAGATTAGCACCCCACGTTGTGACTCTCGGCGTTCTAATGATATCAGGTCCATAGAATCAATTTTCGGAAATTCCTACTCGCTGGAATCAGCGAAGTCAAGGGTGATGGGACCACCACCTGTGAAACTATTGGGCAAGCTTTCGTAATTCCCTTTGGCATACGTTCAGTGATTGATGCGATCCCCTCTAGTTGAGGCTGAGATATTTTGAAAATGGGTCTAAGTCCTAGATGCTTTATCGACGATTGGTCTGAGTGACTTTGTTAGTTAATCATTTTTGTCCATGATTGTGGACGATGTCGATTAATCTATCTCACCTCAGCAATATCTACACATTTATCTTACGTGCATATCTCTTCTCTTGACACCACATGTCAAACTTGAAGACCATAAAGAAGGTTATTCTAGGAATAAATCTCAGATTTGAGAAATTTGGATCGCCAAGGAACCTACATTGGCACTATAATCCCCCCCCCCCAAAAGGAGGATGCTCAACAATATCAATACATTCCTCTTCTCGAACCTGATGCATTTCGTATCATCATCATTAGTCCTGCCTCATCACTCAACTCACTATTATCATACAGCTTACTTTCATTCTACTCTATTCCTTTACGATCAATCTCTCATAGATCATTACACAGCACTTGCTTACGTCTAGGGAGATGCAAACAACGCAAAGACAATATTGGTCGATAATAAACCACTAACTATTACTGCAGGTCTTGATTCAGCCTTGCGTCATTTGCAAGATGTAAATAGAGATACAGTAATATGAGAAGATGGAATTTGTATGAACCAATCTGACTTTGAAGAAAAGAATAAACAAGTTAGTTTGATGAGCTTGATTTATGAAGTTGCAAGGCAAACTGTTATATTATGGAGAGACGTCATCACAAACTGATGAAATCTTCAAATTACTTGATTCTCCAATGTCATCAATGAAGAAGCAAACGAAGCCTGGATTTCTATCCAATGCTCGAACGTCGCACAATACGGATGAGACATTGATCTACACTCAGAAGAACACATTGGATCAAAAATTGATATTCTGATTTGTCATGTAACAGACATGCCATGGTTCAGAAGAATTTGGATTCTCCAAGAACTAATCCTTTCCGGTGATCCTTGGGTACAAGTGGATTTGATCGTCTCAGATGGAAAGACTTTACAGCCCTAATTTCTAATTCCAAACATGATTCTGCATTGGACAAGTCTCCAAATTAAAATGTTCTAGCCGAGATGTGCATGTTACGCGAGAAGTTTGTATCGACGACTTCGGAGAGTTCTGACTCGTGCGATTATCTGCTTCAGATTCTCCACTCGCGTCGTGAGTATGGCGTGTCCGATCTAAGAGATATGTTGTACGGACATCTCACCATGTTTGTAAACCCCATGAAAAGTAAGAAACCAAAAAACGAAAATTTAAAGGAAATCGATCATCGAAAAACATCAACAGATGTTGAGACGGATTTGACATTGTTTTTCTTTGCGTCAACAACCTGATATTGGGTTCCTGTCGCATGTGGAAGATGTGAAATTTGAGGAGAGAAAATGGAATCTACCGACCTGGGTACTGGACTGGACCTCGGAAAAAGTTCCCATGGATGCGAAGTCGTATTTGCAGTAAATACAGACACGTTAAGCGATTCATGATCAGGAGGATAGATGGGTTGTTCTGGGCGAAAGGGGGGTGTTGGGCTGTATAGAAACAGGGGTTAATTGTGTGGAAATGGTTGAATATGAGATTCCGAGGAGGAAGGATATTTTTGCTTTGTGTCATAACAATCCAGAACTTGCATGCAATGGGAAGTTCTCGAAAGAATACATATCATGCTGATAGGAAGAGGAAAGTTCGTCTCGTTTGTAAACATCTCTGTGCGGGGTTTAATACCCCAGAGACTTCACCCTGTAATTTTATTCCAAGAGATCTGGAAAAGCTCTTTGATCATGAGTTTCCAAGAGCAGAAAACAGATTCTTCTACAGAATGGAACTGATTTCCAAATCGAGATCTAGAATCACCGAAAAGTTACACAGAAGTGTTACAGAATCAAAAACCCTCGGAAGGTTTATGGATTTAGATATTGATGACAATGCCAGATGTCAGTGGAATTCTCCTCGGGTCGGGGGCAAGAAACTTGCGGTTTTGGGCAGTGGGAAAATCGCACTAGTGAAGGTGCAAGTAAAAGTAAGAGGTGGAATTTGAAGGTTTAATGGGGGAAGAGGGATTGTAAGAGTTCTGGAACCTTCTCACTGTATAGATTTCGATTTCTCCGCTATAATTATTAGTTTTTCAGCTTTTAAGTTTTCTGTTTCTTTATTAAGTTTTATATAAAATAATAAAAATGTTACGAGGACATAGTTACTAAGACGGGAAAACCCCGGCTTCATAATGAGGGTTATGAAGGAATTAACGATATAATCTATTCTAATAATTTATATTAAGTAATCAATTAGTCTAAAGTAAGCTAAGGGGAACTCTATTATCGATAGTATTAAGTATAGACATTATAATAAAAAGATATATGAGAGTCGTAAGATTATAAAATTTAAATAGATAAGATAAATAGTTTAGTATATACTTAAACTTAGTTTGAATATATAATTAGTTTTAAATACATTTTAATACGGTTATTGCTTTATATCTATTAAGTGACTTAGAGTCTATTCGATACATTCCCTACTATAGTATCCTATTAAAACAGAATTCAAAAATCGATTTAGAATTATTTTAAATATTTAGAAAAAAAACTAATTTATTCTTAAATATTTTATTTATAAAGTTATAAGCTATTTAAAATAAAAATGATAAGTTTTCTAAAAAAAAATCGCTTATTTTATATGAGAATCAAAAGTTAGAAATTTTCAATTCTATCAATTTTAAATCTATAACGTAGTTTATTAGTACGTATATTATATTAGTACATGTACTACTTTAAAAATATATCAAAATCAAGCTTTTCTTATGTTACAACGGTATCCAACATACCGCGTCACATGGCCAAACGGTCACGTAATGGACCTAGAGGATCTAGAGGATCGAAGAATAAATATCTAGATCTATAAGATCCAAAGGATCTAAGTAGAACAAAGCCTTATAGTTTTGTAAAGAATGAAGATCTATATAAGGAATAGGGTTTTTTTATATATAAAGCTTTATACTTAAAAACAATCATTAATTTTATTACTATAATTATGAGAATTGTAACTAATGTTACGGGAGCTGCCTCTAGGGTCACGTGGAAGTGTCTAGAGATCTCTCGAGGTGGTTTAGACTAGACTTCAAGTAGGAATTCAATAAGGTTGTAACTGGTTGCAATTCTCGTAACTATAGTAATGAAACTAATGATTGTTCTTGAGCACGAAGCTCTACATTGTAATGAAACCCATTCCCTTATATAGATCTTCGTCCTACTTGGACAGCTGGGACAGCCGGGCGCTCCTGGAGCGCTGTCGTTCCTGAGCTGTCCATCACGGGACACTAATCCCGTGACTCTTGGTGTCCTAGCTTATTCTTTTGTCCTGGGGCTAATCCCCTGGGACATTACTAATCCTAGTGAAGCCTTCTTGCTTACTGTGTTCTGTCTTTCCTAGGACCTATTGTCCTGGGAACTATGTCCTATGTTTCTAGGGTATACTATGACTAATACTATATACGTGCCTGAGGCTCTCCTGGGTGCCTAGCGTCCCCCGGTATACTGCAGCTGAATCACCGAGGCTTATAGTACCATTATAGCCTATACGTTGGTGATTCTACAGCCTGTTACTAATCCGTTGTAACAACTAATTACAACCTTATTGAATTCCTACTTGAAGTTTAATCTAAACCACCTCGAAAGAACTCTAGACACTTCCACGTAACCTTAGAGGCAGCTCCCGTAACATCTTAATATTTATAATTTAATAATTAATCATCATTTCTTTTAAAAAAAAAGATATTAAATAATAATAAAAAGTTAAACATTTAAATTTTATACTAAATTTTATTTAAATATTCTTATTATATTCTAAAAAAAGTTAATATTATTATGATTTTTATTATATAAAAAATTCTTTCTTTTTATAATAACTATTATAATAATTCGAATTTTCAATTTATTACTAAAGATTCATACTATTTATGTATTTCAATATTATATATCTAATTTTCAGAAAATTTTATTTATAAATAAAGAAAGTGTATAATTATATATAACGAATTTTGTATATAAAAAGAGTAGTATACGTATTAATATAATATATATACTAGTAAACTATATTATGTTTTATAAACAATAATAATTAAAAACAAATTATATATTTTTTTCAATAAAGAATAATATTAATTATTTATATTCAAATTTTAAAAAACAAAATTCTTTAGATTGAAAAAGTTATAACTTTTTTAATTTGTATAGAAAAATATCATTATTGTAGAGATTTTGTTATAAAGTTTATAGGGTGCAGTAAGGAGGTTCTAGAACTCCTATTATATTCTGCGGGATTGGGATAATGAGGAGGGTTTTGAGAAAATAAAAACAGGTTTTGGAGCAATATGTGGAGTATAGAGATAATGAACAAATCATATAAAACAAAAAGATATTGGAGATGAACGCGAAGATGGGTTTTGTGGGACAGAATGCTCACACAAGTATGAGAAACTCACTGTTGAGAGCAGCGCGAGTATTAGCGAAACTTGAGAGCGAGGGAAATGACGATGGAAATGGGAAACAGAGAAGGACTTCAAAGAGAACATGAAGGGAAAAACGGAAATGGTTGTTGGGAATGTGCTCAAAGAGATGCGTGATATGAGATATCGTGTTTTTTCACTTGATACGATATATTATGATCAGTTACATGTGGTGAGAGATGCGGATGTGATGCTTTTCAGAACAGATGTGGATGGGATAGGAATGAAGAGGGAGAAGGAAAAGGAGAAGGAGAAGGAGAAGGAGAAGGAGAAGGAGAAGGAGAAGGAGAAGGAGAAGGAGAAGGAGAAGGAGAAGGAGAAGGAGAGGGAGGTGGTGAAACATGTTAGGTTTGTGGGAGGGAGTGTTTTGGATAGAGATTCGAAGCGTTATGAATTGAAAGATGTATACGAATACTTGGAGAGAGAAGAAAGAGAGAGAGAAAATTTTTTCCAGGAGGTGGAGGAGGAGATGAAAAATGGTGGAAATTGGGATTGCGAACTCAGAGTGAGAGTCTGGATGATGAGGGAGGATATGATGAAGATGAGTATGATGGAGGGTATGATCTGGACGATTGGGGAGGGGAATTGCAGGATTGGAAAGGGAATTTCTCTGATGAATCTTCTGATGATTATTCTGATGAGGACAATTCAACTGATAAATCGGATATAGAAACTTTTACTGGAGGCTCTAACGACCCGGAGCAGGCACAACCGAAAAGGTATTGGGAAGTTGAACGTTGGGAAAAATTGGTACGGCCGTTGTCGCTTAGGATTCTTGTAATTCATTGAGAGTGGAATGAAAAGTGGAGGAATCGGGATATGGATATAACTTTCATGTACGGAGAAATATCTATCCAACTGCGACACGAAACTGTATGCCATGGTACTGGTATAATTTCGAAGAGGGTCGTTTCACGTAGAGACACTTTGAGCTACCAATCTACGGTTGTTGGGTAATTGCTAGATGAAAGAGAAGAGAAGAAAAGGGAAGGGAAGGGAAGGGAAGGGAGGAACGAGTATTTATCGGGATGGTTTGAGATTTAGGGAGTGGCAGAGTGATAATCAGAATGTCAAAACTGCGCTAATCGGCTTTATAATATGACGAAATGTTGATCATGGTGTGAATTACACTCGCTCTCCAAATATAGAGTTTCCATCTGAAATTAGAATTCGTATCTGAGTAATTGGATGGTAATTAGGGTCCAGGGGAATAGACATCGATAATATATCTATACCGAGAAAGCAGATTTAGCAATGGAAATAAGATATTTTCGATGAAACGATAGATGTTTTGCGCGGATTTATCTCATTTCTGATATAAAAAAAGGGATTGGAGAATATTTGCCTACCTACCTACCTACTCACAGATTGAGAATAAAGAAGGAGATCGATTCAATTCGATTCACTTCGGTTGGACAGTGTGGGAAATTGTATGTATCCCTTGAGACTAGCTCAACTTTAATTTTTTTAAATTAAGTAGTTTATCATTGAAAATTAAGTTGAAGTGTTTGGGTATTGACTCGCTTAATGAATTGAGTAATGATTCTGAGTAATATGTAACAAGTAGTGCTGAGGAGATAACTACCTATATATAGACTCGCTTAATGAGTAACGGGTAACGGGCAATAAGTAATGAATAATAAGTAATTAGTAATAAGTAATAATCGGTGATGAGTATAACAGAAAATTGATACTATGATATAGTTACATTCTCTTAATTTGATATTGAAAAATTGAAATATGTAATCATGTACAGCTTGTAGGCAGGGTTATATGGATAATTATCAAGTACTCACACATAAATAGAAATACAATACTCATTCATCATGCGCTAAAAGACTGGGAAAATAGAGTTTGAGTTTGAGTTGATGTGAATTGATGTATGGGTTGATGTCGCGATGGGTGGGTAGAATGTTTCTTGATTCGTGTTCTATGTTTCATGGAATATTGTCATTATTGTTACTGTTGTCGAGAATTTATTTTGTTGTCATTGTTTTTATTGTTGTCGTTGAGAAATCGGATATGATCTCATGACATTCAAGGAGTTTTAACGGTGAGGACGAAAATGAAAATGAAATAGGAGGGCTATTGTAGAGCCTAGAAAGAGGAAGTGATTGATTGATGTTATGAGTTTGAGGAGATGATAGTGCATATATCTGGTAAATTTTTCGCTTCGGAATTTGGGGTGCTGATTCGGATATCGAGTTGTAATGGGTAGGTGTTTATATAGGAGTGCTAGAGAAGTGGGGTCAGTTTGGACATGGGATAGGATGGATGAGATGAGGTGGATGAGGACATGTGAGTGAATTCATGACCAAGAGCTCGCTTGATATGTATACCCCTCATATCTATCTACGAAATATATAATAGAGTTCAAGTAACAAATTCGAAAGTATTCAACCAGAACCTATATCCATTCTATCTCGTATAAATTTCAAAAGACAGGATATTGTCATGTACCTGTAAATATAACGACTGTTGGAGGGGACCTTTGTTGTTCTTTTGTGGGGAATGAAGTTCATGATATATTGTGTGTTTGATTAATTGATAGCGTAATTGTGATTTTGCTTGTGATTTGCTTGTGGTTCTTGGTTGTGGGATGATAGGAATCTAAGAGGTTTTGTCATTCTTCGCTTCGTATTGTCATTTGGCGAGAAGAGGGGACACCACCATCACTACAAGTAGGTACCTACCGTCGATATATCAAAATAAATCTTTAGCATCTAATATTCAGTCATCGTGAATATACAATACCATCTATTCTACTCTACGATCTCGAAATTTCGCCACAAAAGTCCTCGTCTTGCCTGGTTAATTGGTAAAGCTCACTCTTGATGGCAGATTAAATTTAGAGCATTCGGTGGTGTTTTATGTACACAGAATCCATGCTTAAGTTAAGATAACATGCGAGATTAATCTATTTTAGCCTGACTTGTAGTGAATCCCATTCACACATCAGTAGATCCATTTATCGCCCGACTTGTTGTGAATCCCATTCACATATTTTCTCAGAATACTTTGGATACAAGGCTCTCGAAACCTTCGAGTGCTCAAAAATCAAGCTCGGACTTATGATTATGCTCAGTTGAAAAACCTGTTGAAATATAGTAAAGTACAATAAAGAAAGCGTTCGCATATATACTTCTTCCCTGGAGATATGTTAAAATATTCAAATTTTGGGCATTGAATGTCGATGTTGATAGTAAAAGGGAAAGGAATCGGCAGTGGAACTCTTGTATATATTAGATGATAAATCCGCGATCAGATGGTTAGATATCTAGATCTGATATATCAAAATTCAACCAGACAAAAACTCCACAGAGTGATTTCGCAACTCAGAAAACGAGACCTGATTTGCCAATAGCTGTTTTGATATCTTGAGTTTCTGAAGAATCTAAGAATAGTCTCGTCTAATAACACCTCTTTACATAAGCGAACTCTAGCTCTGTGTCTGTGAAGCAAAAGGTGAAAAATAGTAAAAGTGGATGATCTTGCGAGGTTTCAAATTGTGAGTATTTAAGGTCGACCACTTCCACGAATTTATATGCAATGTCCCGAGAGTCGAAGGACTTAAGGAATCTCAAAGAAGTTCTGCGGTTAATACGCCGGGACTTCAGGGCTTAATCTTTGGGTTTCTCTGGCTTCTTCTTCGGGAGGAGAAGAGAGGGAAACCGAGACAGAAAAAAGCGATTTTAAAGATGGGGGAATGGCGACAAAACTCTCATATCGCTGCCATTGTACAGATCTCTCCTCTCACTCGTTAACAGCGACAAAGAAAGCTTGCGATAGTATAAATACAAATACACAATAATTACCCCATAGACTATACACCAGCATGTAATAACTACCTCGAGCATTTTTTACTTCATACTTCACACGACTACGTAAGTAAAGTAAAGTATATACCTTACCAGCCCATTAGAAGAAAGCTTCCTGATCTTATTTCTCGATACACAATCACGAAATAGAAGACTCGAGGGAGATCTTTTATATTTGAATTGGTGTTGGAAATTCTAGATATCAGGCTTGGAGGTGAATTGGAGACATTCACCCCAATAACATTCTCAGCACCCCAATCCGCAGCTGTAATCTTACTTTAGCCTTGAGAATCAAATAGAGCAAGCTGTTCACTATTTGCTCATTCAGTGCTAAGACTAGCACAATATAACATACTAATTCGTATCAAGATAGCATATAAACCCCCCTTACCCCCAAATCCATCCTCCACAATATCCTAAAAAAAAGGAAAATGCAAGCCCAAGAATTTCCATCTTGCTTGGATATTAACAGGAAATTCGTTATGTTGATTATGTATGCAGTATAGAATTCTAGGCATCAATGGCATCATAGAATTTAACTAATAAGCAAAGACAAACTACAAATCTAGCCAAAAAGACACAAGAGTGAGGAATTTCACTGTCATCCCACTACCGCTCCTCAGAAGATGACAACAAAACTAACTCACCAAACAAAAACAAAAGGAACAGAGATACAAACCTGGTTTTCCTGCCTCCCTCTCCAGGAGAAGATGCCCACCCCTAGCACCCCCAAATCACAAAAATTCGTCAGCCAAGAAATCCTCGCAAGTAAATTTCAGCCTGTCCAAAGCTATACATCGAAAACACTGTGACACTACTAATCATGATTTTATGTACCAAACTTTAAGCCTTGAGGATCGATAGCCATTCACTAATCTGTAATTTTTACCAAGCGATAATCAAATATTTGGAATTCTCACGTGCTGAGACATGACAATTGATCCCTCTTCGTATCCATTCGAATCTCATTTCCAATTTCCAATCATTCTTCAACTTCAACTTCATCTCCATCTCCATCTCTACAACAACAAAACAACAACTCATCATCCCTTTCCCACAAATAAAAACCTAAAAGACCATCAAGCTTAAACACCCGTCAAAATGTATCCACATACATAGCCAGGTACATATGAACAAGTGAACAAGTGAAACAACCGCCGGTACTAACCACCGCCCGATTCCATCCCACTTCAAAGCATCACATACATATTAACCAAATTACTAGGCCTAATCACCGAACTGAGACTTAACATGCACAACATATGCTAGTTTTTCGAGAAAAGAGTGCTCAATAGATATCCCTAAACAACACAATACAATCTCTTCCATCTTTTCGCTTGATACGATGAACAGAGGCCCGAGGGAAAGAAAGGGAAACGAGATCACAATAACATCATCTACATGCATGACTATCGCCAAATCAAACCACAATACAAACATAGTGAGTGCACATAGCATATCCTTGAAAAAAAATAAAACTCGTCATTGCATTCCCATCTACCATACGTACTTTAGTTGTACTTTTTAGCCAAGAATTGAATGAGAAAGAAAATGAATGTAAGAAAAAGATATACATGTAGAAGAAGACGGAGATAGATAACTCCCATGATTCCTCATTTTATATCGCCAAGAACGCCAATTAAACCCATCCAGCCACTTCCTGACTATCGTCCTTTCTATCCCCAAAGTTCGATTCAGTAAATCAGTTTCCATGTCCTCGTCATCGTAATAAAATCACGCTGGACCCGTCCTCGCCAAAACCTCACTTAGATGTTTTAAATCATTTTGTGCCTTCTCATCTCTTTCCAAAATGCTTCTAATAGCCTGCCATTCCAGATCTCTCATTTGATAAGCCTGTGGCATTAAGAAACCAACTGTCGGAGCCCTCGCATAGTCACCTAGTATTCTCAAGGCAACAGCTTCACCTTCCGCTTGAGCAATTCGTCTTTGCTCTTCCAAATTCTGTTGATGTCTTTCCTCAGGTTTTCCAACAAAAGATGGCTGGAAAGAACATTGGGGAGTAACAGGACTAGGAGACATACCTGGACCCGGATGACTGATTGACATTTGGCGTTGAGCAATACCACCCGTAGTAAGAGGACTGTGAGGATCAATTGAACCATCAAATGATTGGATCCGTGAAGGTTGTTCCCATCCATTTCGTACAACTAAGGTTACTAGTATTGAAGGTTCTGGTCTATCTTCTGGTAGATTGTGTTCTGCAAGATTGACAACAAAGTCTGGGATATTCCCAGGTCCAGGAGGGACTGGTACTAAATATGTGTCTCGTACATTTCCCGGACCCTTGTTGGTAAGTACTCCATAACGTTTCTTGTCATGAAAGTAATTATACAAGTCAAGAAAATCCGATGATCCAGAAGTTGGTGTTATGTTGATGACAATTACATCAGATGGTGGACTATATCGAAGACCACATAAATATTCATTGGCTTTATCTGCATCAATTCTACCATGGACCTTTAAATCCCTATGAAGAAGTTCAGACCATGGAGTTTGCATACGATTGCGACTCAAATCTGGACCAGCAACTTGTTTGGCATATGCCGAGAACTTTGCTACCGAATCCATGCTCATTGTACCTTTCCAAACAATGTCTGGATCTGAAGGGTCTTCAACTGGAGAATATGGCGGGGATTCATTATCATCTTGAAGCATTTTGTCAACATCAGGATCATCTCCAGGTCCATTTAAAGGCGGTGCGTTCGATGCCCTTCTGTAATGTTCGGCATTGCGTTGTTTATTGGTAGAAGGATGAGGCGATTGAACACTCGAAAAGACCTTGTTGATATCAAAATTTCCTGTTGCGGAACTTTGCGTTGAGCCCTTTCTCAAAGCTGGTTGTTTGGTATCGATATTCAGAGGTGTTTTTGGGGTTGATGAAGTGCGAACTTTGTCAAGTGACGGGTAGTCTTCAGGAATTTCTGGTACTTCAACCTCGTTTTCGGGTGAGTGTGACCTAGACCTATCACCCATACCAGCATTCGGATCTAACATTTCTCGTCGACGTGCTGCAGACATTGGAATATCAGGATATTCATTAGGATTGGTGTCATCTTCGATTATTTCCTCACCTTTGTGAGTTCTTCGAATTCGTGGACCATCATCTGTGATCATTATAGATTGTTTATCGGCTCTTGCTTTCATGAGTGCTGTTTCACGTTTCAACTCCTTACTTGCCATATCATCAGTTGTCATCACCGCCAAGGCCTGAGGTGATAATGATTGCGACAACAAACCATTACATAATTCTTGATTTTGTTTTAAATTAAGAAATATCGAACGGATCTGTTTGATGGAGGCTGACTTGTTTGGGTGTGTGCTACGAACGGCTGCTTCGATTTGAATAGCAAGTCGTTCTGCCTTTGCATCAATGGTATCATCGGGTCGTAAGGTATAATAACGCTCTTCAATAGCATGTGGAATGGCTTGAAGTAACCCTTTTTTGATCAAGGTAACCTGGCCTTGTTGCTCTGCTTCGAGTTCAGAGATTTTGCTAGGCAAGTCTGATGGCGGAGAAGCTCTAGGTGTAGGACGAGACAACGTCTTGCGGACTTTAGTTGAAGATTCCTAAAATACGGTCAGCATGATCCATTCCGCAGTGAAACCAATGACTTACTTTAACAGCTTCTTTATCTTGGGATTCATCTCTTGTCTTGCGTTTTTGACTGGATGCCTTTGCAGGCGAGTCTTTCTGTGTTTCTTTTTTGGCCGGAACTGAAGGGGACTGTATCTTTCCATTCGCAGGAGTTACATCGCGCTTTTGGTCACTTGTTCTCTTCTTCCCTTTCTTGCCCTTCTTCCTTGCCGCTTCCTCAGCATCTTGTCTCTCTTGCTCTGCCTTTTCCTCTTCATGCTTCTCTTGCCTTGCGATCCAAGGTTGTTCACCTCTAGCAATTCCCTCCAAGAGTTCTTTGTGAGCTTCTGGCGCACATTGTTCGCAAGTGTATTTGTCTGGTGTATCTTCCTCATATGGACTTACACCTACGCAAACATTATGTTGCCAGACGGCGCAAATGTCGCAAGCGATCCAAGCAGCTTCATCATCATCCGTAGTCGAAGTAACGCCACAAACACAGCGTATAACCTCAACTTCTCCTTCTTCTTCTTCTTGAATCGCTGTCTTTTTTCCACCTTTCTTTCCTTTCTTTTTTGTTTCGATAGGTTGATCAAGCTCATGAGCTTTCGGGTGTTGACCTTTTGTCGCTCGCGACGACTTCCTAACGTCTGTAGAATCCCTGTTAGTTATTTGCTCGTGTGATGGTACTTGAGGGGAAGCATTTTGCCAATTCCTTGCGCAAAGCAAGTGGGCTGACCTGCGAAGAGGTAACTATTACTTACCGGCCATAATAAAGGATATTATCAATGATACAAAGGTTCAAAATTCTTGTGGACGCGAATTCGACGATTACAAGGGATGAATATACGCCCTGGAGCTGAATTTCAAAGTACGCGTTGATGAATTGATTTCACGCGATCACTGGCTCTACGAACAAGCTATGGGTTTGTTGAAGAAGGGGTAATATGTAGAAAAGAAATAAGAAGCTATCAACAGGTTATGGGAAGCTTCTCTTTATGATCCTTCCCCAAATACAATCAGATGAAGTCGCGATTTTGATTTTTTTTTTCTTCTTCTGGGTATTGTTGATAGCCGGTTGGTACGGACAAGCTTCAAATCAATTGACCGCGTAAATTGAATGCGCAAAATAGCTTTAAAAACCGTAAGAGAGTCAATAATTGTTGATTGCAGTGAGACGATGAAGGTATTCGAGACAATGCGGCAAGGTGTTTCGAGAGTTGATGGGCAACAAAAGCCTGTTGATTGCTATTTGAACGTTTCGTTTCGTTTTGTCGTATTCTGGTTATGTTTCCGAAATTTCGAGATAGAGAAGAAGGAAGGCGGAGATTGATTGATTTTCCTTCATTGGTGAGGCAAAGAGGCAAGGCTGGCTGAGAAATTACAAGATTTTTCCAAGGTGCGGGGATATAGTCATGTGATATCGGATGTTACAAGTTCCGATTTCAAGGCTCATGATTAGATATCAAGATAACTTCAAGCTGATTAGGAGTTAGCGCCTTGGCACCAGAGAGCTCCAGCTTTGACCTTTGAAACCTTGAAGAGCAGAGCAGTGCTCATGTGAAAATCTCAAGGAGCTTCAGCCTCGACAAATCCTCCTCACCTCTCGATTACAAAACAATACAAGAATATTCAACCTCGAATACAAAATCAGTACATAACAAACCTCTCTCCTCTCAAATATCACCAATTATTCCTCATATGATTCAGCAATTCCTACCAAAATCATCATAATAATCATGGCAGATGTTCGTTCACTTCTCAAGAACGAGCGAGTTGCTCGTCGCATACAACATAAACATGCTGGTTACTCAACTGCTGGTAATTTGATGTGCCTCGTCTGTCATTTACAAATGAAGAGTGAATCGTTATGGGAAGGACATTTACGATCACCAGGACACATTCTACGACTCTCCAAACAACAAGAAGCAGAACGGCAGCGTAATGCGACAGCGGACACAAACAGCAACGAGGGAACCAGTAAAAAGAGGAAATTGGACGATGAGGATGAGGATATGGATATAAACTATGGTACCTTGAAGAAGCGCAGTAAAGCTACACCTACTGCATTGGAGGGGTTTTTTGTTCCAGCAGAGGACTCGTCAAAAGAAAGATCCGAATCACCTTCAAAATCCGTGATACCTCATGAGTTACAAATTCCTTCTCGTCCTGCAACGCCAGCGAAACCAACCAAATCACCGCCCCCAAATAAACAAACTAATGTGAATGAAGACGAATGGGCTGCATTCGAAGCAGATATTGCCGCTGCGGATGTTCCAACAGAAGTCGAATCAGAGGCTGTCATATTTGCACCTGCAGTGACTACGGCGGAAGTGGAAGCTCGAAAAGCCGAAGAAGAGAAGGCGCGGAGAAAGGAGAAGCTTGAAGCTGAGGTAGAGGGAGATAAAGAGGATGCGAGTAGAAAGTTACAAGAAGAATTTGAGGAAATGGAAGGCCTAGAACAAAGAGTGAAGCGGCTCAGAGAGAAACGAGAAGCTTTGAGATCGAAAGAAAAGGAAGCGATCGCAACAGTACCAATACCAACAGATGAATCTGCGCCCAATGTTGTATTGGAAGACGACGACGACGACGATGATGACGATGAGGATGATTGGGATGGATTCAGATTAAGATGATTATCAATTCTGGATTTGTACCAACACGGATGCTGGCAATAACGATATTTGATATTGCGTGATTATAACCTATTTAATAAAGCATAATATCTGCTCCTTGGCTATGAGGATGTACAATTGAATACGTTCAATTGTATTCTGGACATACCTAGTCCTATTGATAAACAGAAATGAAGTGGGATTATTATTATGCATAAATGTGGTTTATGTTTAGCAAGTGCTAAGGCTAAGATCAAATGCTCATTGTCTCACGATTATCATCTGAGATGTTTTCTAGGAAACACTTTGCTGTACTCTTATACTTTCAGCGCATATTCATCGATGAGTCCATTGTTTATAATCGAGCATACATGGATCCGACTGCCTGTTCATCTACCTGCTCACTCCAATTGTGCTCATGAGAAAGCGAAGATTTTGTATTTATGAACCCGATTGTTATTGCATATGACTACTGATCACAATTATAAGAGCAAACAAGTTGCAGAAAGGCAATCACATAGCAAATTAACTGGCGATCCTCCAAGAAACAATTCCCAAAACCCTAAACATTTCTCAATTCAAATCAAAGCCACTTCCCCATCCACTCCAAACCTTGCTTCATTGAATCCTCCAGACAAGCTCTTTCCAGTGGATCGTCTGGATTTCCTCTAACCGCAAACCCATGTCTTCCAGGTTTATAAGCCCTATGTTCCATTTCCGGTACTTTCCTCCCCTTCTCCCTCTCCTTCTGATGACTCTCCTCAATAATCCCTTTCGACTTAATCGAAACCGCTACATCGTTTTCTCCCCATCCATAACTGATCGGTACAACCAATCCCTCCACATCTCTGGGAAATACCAAGTTACTCGGATGCAACGCAACTACCGCATCAACCAATGATTTCTTAACCCCATCAATCAAAACCATATTCGATTCCAACCCAGCACGAATAGCATATCGACCTCCCCAACAATACCCCACCATCCCAATCTTCCTCTCCCCCTTCGTCTCCACCCTCAACTTCTCCAAGAATCCATTACAAACCGCGCTACACCTCGCTTCCTTATGTCTTCCCATCCACATCAGAAAACTTAGCGCACTAGCTAAGATCCCCGTATATTTCCCCAAAGTCCCCTGTTTACTCGCATCCACGGGAATCAACAGATCGGCTACTTTAAGCGCAACGGGATCCCCTTCGAAAAAATCAGGCACGTACACGAGATGTTCTCCAGAGGCGGCAAAGGCGTCGGCGAGAAGAAGATTGTTGGGGAGGAGGTGTCCGAATATATCGGTGTAGAGTATGATTGTTGCGCGGGTGGTGGATGGGTTGCCGACGATGTAGGTACGTAGACCGTGCATGATTTGGTAGTCCCCGGTAGGGAGGCCGGCGTGGATGGTTCCCTTGGGAGGATTAGCTTGGGTTTTGGAGGGATGAGATGAGATGAGATGAGAGGGAGTTTTAATGTACCTTGATGCATTCATTGCATGGTTTATCCGTTGTAGACATTTTGATAGTGAGGTTTGTATCTCGCGATAAATACAATACACAACTTGTGGAGTTGAGATTTAGAATACCGTAGCTCAAAGGGGTAATCGCTTAGACTGGCAGACCTCAATCTTTATCTCAAAGAAACGAAACCGAAACCGGGAGGAAGTTGGATTGTAGATGTAGATATAAGTACGATTTACCTCGAATATGATATATCCAACTCAAAAATAAGTAGATAAGTATATAAGTGCATAAGTAGTAAACAAAAAACTATAATCAATCAAACTAATATTCCCCCATCCCCAAACCACAGCGACAACAGCATCTTTATAGGAAATCCCCATCCCGCAAATCCCATATCTGATACATCATTTCGTTCATTCCTCGACACTTACTCGGCATTTTCTCGCGCTTTTTGGCTCGCTCGTCTACCTCGCACAGACAGCGAGCGAGACAGTCCCCCCACACTCGACTCGGTTGGCGAGAAGACACGTGATCTTGGCGTGCTGGGAGAGTAAGCGTGGCGTGAAGGATAAAAAACCTTGTGAGTTTGGGGATTGGATGGCATGGGTAGAGGGATGGGTAGAGAGATGGATAGGGAAAAGTGCTTATTTTTGTTTTTGAGAGACTGGATAGATTGTGGAAATGGTGGTGGGTGGTGGATGGAAGATTGATTCGTTGGCGAGCGTGTTTGGGGCCGAGAAAAGCGCGAGCTAGAATTTGAGATTTTGAGTCGAGTGAAGGGTAAGGCTGGGCTGGTATGTTTTCTTGTCACAAACATCATGGTGATGGAGATCGGCGTTGGAGGAGATGATTGGATAAAGTCCGAGTGGAACATTCAAGTAATACATATATTCTATTCACAATAGAGGATCCAGGCCAGTGGCATGCATGCATGGATTATTGACTATGTAGATTGAAACTTAAATTGTGTAAAGCTTGAATCTAACTACGAAGTGGAAGTGATATATATACGTTGCGCTAGTGCACATAACATATCTTTCCAACATATTACATATAACGCCTGACCAATTCAATGATCTAATTAAGAATCTTTGAAGAAGGTTATAAAGCGACTTTGTACCGGATCCTCAGAGCCGATATAAACTTATAGGATAGAGTAGCACTTCATTTTGTCTTAAAGTGGGAGATCCATGACTTGAGCCGATTCAATCCATTCATACCAATTTACGTCCATGTCGAGATTCATGTTCACATCTATATCTGCAAACATACCGGCTGAGGTAATGTCGCTCCATGGAGGTGACATATTCTTTAGATTTAAATTTGGACTTTGATCATACCAGCCATTTGGGACGTCATCAACGGCTTCAAGTGATAGGTAAGAAGGTTGTTCTAGTCCTGTTTGAATTTGAGGACACACTGGCTGGTCATTCATATTTGATGATTCTTGCCCGGAAAAGTTGTTATGATCAATGTCTGGATTTGAGTATAAGTCGCTATGTTTATACACTGATTTGGGATCAAGGCTCCGCTGGGTTGGGGGTGGGTTGCTAGCAGTTGATTCTGGGATGTACATCCCAGCATGCCGTCTTTGATCCTCGAGTTCTAGAGGGATTGCAACCAGTTTACGCCAGCGCTCGCGAAAGGAATTATCGGACTTTCCATCGTAAGATGATACTGGACTGGCCGGAAGCGGTATATTTTCACCTTCTCTCTCTAGTTCAATTACTGACCATGGATTCTCTCGCAGACGTTGTAGCTCAGCTACACGATGTTTACGCGTCTTAGCCATCAGTTTCCGTAGCGGGACCCAGATGCGCGAGTTCTCGTCTCTTTCCGAGGTGTTAGTTAATTGCCGAGGAATTAACCATTTGCTATGGAGAGCGACCCAAGCTCGTTCGATAATGGCAGACCATTGACGTCGAGAGGTTTCTATCAAGAGGTATACGATTGCGTGCCAATGCGTACAAGTCTGAAAAAGCCAATTCCAATGTTGACAATCCTTCTCTGAGTTAAGGGCATGATTATACTCGGCTACCTCAATAGCAGATATTAGAAGTTTGGTTCGAACCTTCTCCGAGTGGTTTTCGCTGGGAGAGGAGAAGAGTACTGGGAGGTTAAGAATAAGATACATTTTGGACACAACCATGCGTGTTAAAGTTGATAGACACCAGGATGCAATGGAATTACTCCCCATGTTCAACTGAAGGAAGTGCTTGTCGACTGTCCCGTAAAGTTCATGTAACAATTGGCTTTGAATTTCCGGACTTGACGGACTTTCTCCGATACTTGAAGCCATCAACGTTCTCATAACATCACACATTTCGGCCGAAACAACCGTAAGGGTCATATCGGTTACACATGAACGCGCTGGTGGCATATCCTTTGTATGAGAATTGAGATCGGCATCATTAATATTGAGCGGAAACTTTGTGTCGACGCTATTACCAGTGGTACTCAATTCCGTACCTTGGTCCTCGGATGCTCGAAAATCTAGCAAGCACACCGTCCACCATACTCTCCTACGAGTTTCAACCTCATAGGGAGTAAGGTTAGGAAAGTGAGAGCCATCCCGGTGAAGACCTAGAGCTTGAGCCATCCTTATAACCAGACCAGTCATCATCCAGACGAAACTAGGACTCTCGTGACGCCGAACCAGAAACAGAAAGATGAGCAGGGCTTTGACCAGGGTTATATCAGGCTCACTAAGAAAATTAGCTTCTGCAAGCGAAATTTCCAAACCCAGTCGATATTTGAAACTCAACTCCGACTTTGTGCAACCGAAGTTGCTTATGATCTAGGAGTAAGAGATTATTGTGAGCAAAATAATTGAGACAAAGCTTCCTTGGATTAGGGGACGCTTACCTCATCTTCTTCCATCGAGGTTACTGTAGCATAATAGATGGAAAACATTAGAGCTTCATTTGCTGGCGTAAGCTTCTTATCCTTATTCCCACGTAAGTCACGGATCATGTCGTTGATGACTGTAATGTCTACAATTCGCATGAATACATGGATGTTTTCACAATATACATCTAGCAGAAAAGGTATCTGTGACGGCAATGGACGCAACTTAGAAAGGTCGGAATCAGAGAGATTTAGATTGTGCTTGAATAAGAAACCATGCCGCTCCGATGGTGTTCGCTCGTGCTCCAATGTGGACACCGTCCTCTCGGGTACATCCTCATCGTTAGAAGATATATCAGAACCAGCGTCTATAGCACCTCGAGTCTCCATTTGTAATCCCTCAATCTACTCCGGCGTCAATGATAGTAATTCATCAATGTATATGGCGTACATAATGAGGGAGCTTTAACAAACCTACCTCATCATTCATTCGGGCCCAGAAACCACTAATTATGTAACGACTCCGGTTGACATCCTTTAGGACTAGCCTACCGAATTTCTTCTGGACGAGAGAAGTATGTTCAACAGAGACGTTATCTTTGAAGCTGTTTAGATCATGATTTAGACCAAGATGTAAACTATCAGAATCACCAAGCCCGGGCAACCCATCACCATTGAGATGTCCTGTTGTAGCATTGGCGTGCTCCAATTGGCGTCTGAGTTCCTTCACTAAATTTTCAAGATTATGAAGTCTCTCAATAATCGGATCTCCCTTGGAACTGACTTCTTGTCTAGGTTTTGCACCTTTTGGCTCTGCTGCCGAGTTACCAGCACGCTCGAGCCGACGAGCCCATCGAGGAGGTCGATCAGTTGAGGGAAGTACGCATGGAATATTTGCTCTTCGGCAATTAGAACACGGCGCCAACTTATCACAACGAACTTTTCGACTTCGGCATATTACATAGCTACGCAGCTTTACTGATGTAGTTGTTGTCTTGTCAGAAGTTAGAGCTGAGGCGGCCATATCCGTGACTGCATGAGACCCCAAATATCTACAGTTCTAGGGTCTTAGTGTGGCCTCTGCAATCATATTAGTGATTTATTGCGCCTTTTTTGAAATTCATGTCCAGTCTCTACGAAATATAGGATGAAGGATTTTGTTTTGAACATTGATCGGACCATAAGTTATATTTCATCAGGAACGGAGAAGCTCAATGTAGGTAAGCAGAGATACCGCTAGGGCAATCATTACGCGCCATGACCGTGGCTAGGTCATAGCAACATACATAAATGCCATGTGAGGCACGCCGACAACATACCAATGCCCGTCGCCCAACAAATCGAAGAGATTGTATGGCAGTACCCTTGAGTTCCTATCTCTGATCTCACATATCACGTTATTATCACGCGGAATGATCGCGATTAGACTGCTGACGGCCATTTGGCGATGGAAATCACGGCAACAATATCTCCCGCGGTCGTGATGCAAATAGACTTGAAGTATCATCTGAAGGATTTACATCACTGTTCACTCTCCTCGAAGCTAAAGGCATGACAATAACATGAGATACAAGAGCACAAATCAAGATATCTTGGATTCTTCCCTATGCGATGAAGGAAGAAAATACGCCAACTCCATTACACTCATTACAGTCTTTACGATCTTTTCTTTTCATGTTCCCTTTCTGACTCCGCCTGAAATTCGATACGAGACGTGACAACTAATGATTAACGTGCAGAGAATCCAAGGATGTGTCCCCTCCATGACGACTTTTCGGCGCTACTTTGCACTAATTAAGCCTTTCGGCGGCTGCATTAGTGCGAATCAGATCTCATTGACAGATACCAGCCAATGAACTTTATGCTTCCGTGATCAATATTTCAATGCTACGGCATTATGCTATAATCTGCGCAGCTTTCTATGGTTTAGCATAGCCGTTCAGTGGCCGCCTCATTATTGAGCATTTGGACAGCAGGGCCACGTCATGGAATTGCTTGTTTAGCATAGTTCTGAGGAGTAGTTTCGGAGAGGGGGTATATCTCCAAAGACCATGCAACTGAGCTTGTGATATTACATTGCAAGCACACAGATTTTTGTAATGTCACAATTCTTGCTTATTTCAGTCATCGGGTTCTGATCAAGAGAACAACACTAATTCCACAACATTCCTACTAAAGCAATTCGGACTATGCAAGGAGGCTGTCTTTATCAAGTTCTATGCTCTGACACCTGTGACGATACATTAGTATCTTTTTCGCTGTCACGAACCGCCCATCGATTTGAACTGGATTAATGCCGAATATTTCCAGAAATAGCAAGCTGGGGTAATACAATACTGCATGATGTTCCATACGGAGTGGTTCCTGAGACCACAAAAAGCGGGAGAAACCATGTTCTCTTGTGTTTTGTGAGACCTCGGCATGAACCTTGATTTGTTGTTGGACGGAGATGCCTTTGATGTAACCTCCATGTACCTCAAAAAAGAGAGGAGACGATTTAGGACAAGTGGTCAAGAATTAGTGGAGAGCTTGCCGGTGGGTCTGTCTTTGGCGTGGCAGTATCACGATGAGAGGCTTGAATTTGATGTACATGCTAGTGCTTTACTAATAGTTAAATATATGGAACGGTATCCAAAGATTCCTAAATACACGGAAAAACGTGGAGAGCCCCTTGTAGTATTGTATCCGAGTAAGCGGAGGCGGCGGGTACTCATACCTACTACGAGCCGGAACAGCTGCTGTTTTCCATACATACTATTGAAAATTGTAAAACCGGTACAAAAAACATCCAGCATGACTCATGAAGATGTAAGAGAGGAGCATCTGAAATAGCGGTTGAACGGCAAGGCCCTCATCCAATGAAGCAACCTTCGATATCCCAAAATATCTCTGGGCGATATTCTCATCAGATCCGTGAATTTGGGTCTTTCTTGTGTTAGCTTTTTCGAAGCTTACAACTTACAAGTGGCTGCACAAGTTTTACGTTGAATTTGGAGAGTAGTGAGGGCTTGGCGGTTCGACACTAATTCTCGACATTTCCTGTCAAAAATTTATATCTTCAAAAGGTTCCACATAGTTGTGATTGACTCGTTAGTGCTGCACGTCGTATTTCATATCCATCTGACATGTGCCCGATGTACCCAATGCTATGCAATGTGCCTAACTGGTTAGTGATATGCTATGGATATCTGTTACCTCGTGTATATCAAACTTGGAATATATCATCTCAACTCCCATAAAGCCCTCCTAGTTTTCAAATTCTAATGCAAAACAAGTCATCAAATCTTCAGCCATGGGAAATCAACGTCGCAATCATCTCCTCTTGAGTAGTCCTCGTACAGCCTCTAATCTCTTGATTACAATCCTCAATCTCGAAAATCAACCCAACATCTACACAACCGAAAATTCCAAACACGGATATTTCTTCCTCGACACCTACCACACTCGCAAGTATCTCTTCGCTGCCGATTCACCACATATGAAAGATTGGACGCAAGAGAATAGAAAGAAATCTCTAGCAGCTCATCAATCCTGCTTCGAAAATTTGCGTGATCATACTATTGCCGCGGAATCAGAAGGAAAATTCGCTTATGTAAAAGAACATGCGGCTTGGCTCATAAATCCTGTTGCGCTAACGAACTTCATCTACGATGAAGAGGTCGGGGAAGAAGCATGGACTGTGAAAGCTTTTGACAGTCAAACACGCTCCATCGGCAATGACACGCTTCTACCAGATGAATTTTTGAAGGGATGGATGCCAACATTTTTAATTCGTCATCCTGCATTAGTTCTCCCCTCATTCCTCAGAGCTCGTTATGACGTGGAGGGATTAGAATTTGCCAAAAAGGAATGGAAATTTCGAAAATTGCAAATGACAATGAAATGGTCAAGGGATTTGTATGATTGGTACTGTTCTCATGGTACAGAAGAGCCAATCGTCTTGGATGCTGACGATATTATGACGAAGCGCGACATCATGGTTAAATATGCAAAAATGATAGGAGCAGATCCTACGAAATTGCAGTTTTCGTGGGATGTACAGACGACCGAGCAAGACTGGGGAGAATCTCAGTCTGCTTGGCTTAGAATGAGTTCTACATTGCGAGCTTCTTCTGGGATTTTGGAAGGAAAAACTTCGACTGGGCTAGTTATTGAAGAAGAGGTGGCAAAGTGGAAAGAAGAGTTTGGAGATGAGATTGCGGGGAATTTGGAGACCTGGGTAAGAGATGCCGTGCCGCATTATGAACATATGAAAGCTAAGCGACTTACTTAATGTATTGTCATTCTCATGCATATGCATGGCATGTGCTTGGCCCAACGGTTAAGTTTACAACTGGAGAAAGGTACCATGTATTGGAGCTGTCATTGGTGTACAAGCCACTTGTTGAATAATTGAAATAATTCTTCATCCAATCTTTAGCCTGGTACTTCCTCGATTGTGTGCATATCTAGCTGTCCAAAAAATGCCATAACCGGGGGGATTTGGGAAATCTGAACAATAATTGGAAGCTACCTCCAAAGAGTTTGACCATGAAATTTTCTTTTGAAGCAAGTTGTCAGACGTGACATGTTCACTGTATGATAGTGGCTGTAGAAGCCCCTGGCGCCACTCATGCCACTTACGAGATGCTTGCACGACCTCGCCCCTTTTACAATCCGAAATTCGAGGGTTATCTCCAACTTCAAACAAAATTCATTTTCAGAGCTATAGCAAGAAGAAAACCAGATTCTTAAAGATCTTAGTCTTGTATGTGTGGTTACCACTTTTTCTTTTTCTTTCACCCTGATTCAAATTGGTCACATGAGATTTCGGAAAGCTCTTACTGGACAGACGAAAAGGTGAATCTACATGAGATTCATATGAGATATTCGGAATGGGGAAGGAAGTCAGCAGATAGTGTCTTCCAATTAGATTACTCGGATTGCGACTTCCTTGTTGTGTGGCGTTGGACAAAGTTGGTGTTGATGCATGTCATCTTGCGTGTGAGATAACAACGTCGACAGGAAAACCTCCAACGATTTCATGATTAAGTCTCGCGATTAATCAATCAACATGATTCTTGGAGTCCTAGTATGCGCTTTGATCATTGGTAGTGCCAACACCGATCTCCCTAGAACTAAACCATTTCTGAGTTTAAATGAAGCCGGTATTGAAGATCTTGCAGAAGGTCTCAAGTTCAGAGAGTTCACCAGTGTCGACTTGATCAACGCAAGTCATCTTAGCACCTGTGCATCAGTTTGAAACCCACTCTAATTATCTCAACATGCCTATGTAGCTCGAATCAATGACGTCAATGATGTTTTGAATGTAGTAGTCGAAATCAATCCGGATGCTATACTCATTGCCTCTATGCTCGACGAGGAGCGATCAATGGGCACGATTCGCGGGTGAGTTTTGAGAGTGAAGAAGTGTGGTATCTTTAGGCTGATACAGTAATTTAGTCCTTTGCATGGAATCCCTATTTTGATTAAAGACGTAGTACGTTCTCTTTCTCAGTTGGAAAGACTTTCAACATAAGCTTTTTCTTCATCCCAAACGCATCAAAATTTCCTTAAATCAGTCTTCCGCCTGTCGTTGTGTGATTTCTACAATGTTTTAGCTAACAGTAATGCCTGGCAAAGATCGCCACAAACGATAAAATGAACAATACCGCTGGATCCTACGCACTAGTTGGGGCTAAAGTGCCTGCAGACTCAACCATCGCGAGGAAGCTTCGAGAATCTGGAGCCATTATTTTAGGAAAGACTAATCCCAGTCAATGGGGCCTTTTCAGATCATTCAATATCAGTAACGGCCCGTGGTGGACAAACTTATGGTCCATATTTTCCCCAGCAAGATCCCTCGGGTAGTTCGAGTGGTAGCGCGGTGGCCGCGACGTAAGTAATATTTCTAATAATAAGCAAAAGCTAATCTTTCAAGACTGGGATTAGCAACGGTTTGCTTGGGCGTAGAAACTAGTGGTTCAATTATAGCACCTTCTCATTACAACAACATTGTTGATATGAAGCCGAGTATGTGCAATTCTGATCATAATCTTGACTTCTTACCGAACCGTCACAGCCGTAGGATTGACATCACGCCATCTTGTCGTCCCAGTCAGCGAACACATGGATACTATTGGGCCGATGACGAAGACTGTCAAAGATGCCGCCTATTTTCTTCGGAGCATCGCAGGTGTTGATCCTTCCGATAACTATACCTCTGCTATTCCGCATGGAGCAGACCTAGATTTTGTCAATGCGTGTAATATTTCGGCTCTCAAAGGTGCTCGATTAGGCATTCCTCAAAATGTGATTTCACTCATGTCAAATAATAGTACGGGATCAATGCTTGAGGCTTTCAATAAATCTCTGGCAATTTTACGATCAGCTGGTGCTATTATCATCGAGAATACAGATTTTCCAGCGGCACAAGAATCCATAGATAATGCTTTACTGACCGTTCAGGTTGTAGCAACGGATTTTGTTGTGGCCGTGGAGAAACATCTAAGTTCACTAGTCTACAATCCGCACAACATCACAAACTTAGCCGATCTACGCCAATGGACTCAATCTAGCTCACTAGAGGATTATCCAAATAAACCTACGGACGTTTGGGATGCAGCACTACGAAATTGGAATAACGCCGATTATGAATATTGGCGTGCTTATCAACAAGCCCTATACTGGGGTAACCAAGGAGGCTTATTGGGAGTGATTAAGCGATATGAACTTGACGCTGCTATTTTACCATCTTTATACTCCTGGAACTGGGCTGCTGTTATTGGCGCGCCCATTATTTCGGTCCCGATGGGAGCAATGCCGCCTGATCAGCCGATAGTATCTGATGCTGATGGATTAGTATCTGCGGGGCCTAATATTCCGTAGGTTATTTAATTCGTGGGGTGCAACCAATTATTGACGACAAATCTAGATTCGGCTTCAGTTTCTTGGGAGCAAGATTTACGGATGCAAAACTCATCGGGTTAGCATATGCGTTTGAGCAAAGAACAATGAAAAGAAAAACGGTACATCCGCATATTAAGCCGAGAACCGATCTTCGAGATGAGGTTGGGATGCAAAACAGTTAGAGAAAATTCTAGTAAAGGTTCTCGTTGTCAATGTTGAGGGGAACACTTGAGTTTCGGATAACAGCAACAACGCACTCGTGGCCAAAGTACCTCGTTGATTCTCCAATTATATCTCCATCTATCTCAGGCATTTTCTATTCTATACAACTAGAAGGCTCCTATAGATATATAAGCGAGTACAACTGAACTATACCAGATCTTCTATTGAGACTTTCAACAATTTTCCTTACTTTATTCCCACTTACTGAAGTGACTTTGATCACAATAGTTTATCCAGCTACATTGGTCAAGCCATATCTTGATTCGATTGACCATACCTCGAAGAACGTACTGGAAAATCCCCTTCAACATGATTTTAAGCATATGAAAGGAGATAGTGAGCCTCTGTAATTAGAACACAGTCTTAAAAATGAGCTGGGGGGTATATTTACCTTCGTCAAAGATAAGAGTTAACAGTAACTGACCCTCATTTTCGCACCTTTCCTGTCGACACATGGCTGCCTCAAGGAGGATGGAGCATAGTTTACATCCATGAAGAGTTGCACTGGTAAGATTGTCGCCATTGACAAAACAAACCAGAAATTACCGAGACACTGGCCATGGATGACTCTTTTCATGAGCATTCGATGCATTTTCTTTTTGGTGAAATTCTGTCGGAAGTATCATTGCGGCTATCATGCAATTCACCTTCATTGATCGACTTCCAGCTGAAAGTACGGCAGTAAATACTATGTACTTTGATTTTTGACCTTTGATTTGATGTTGAAAATATGGGATCATTAAAAACATATTGTCATGTCTGGGTTTGGTGAGATGCTTTGATGGCACAATCTCGTGCATGGGGCAATAGCAAGATGTTATGAACTGCCTATCTGTTATCCTGAAATCAGAAGCATTAAAGAATTATGCATGGTGAAATTCCGAATCGCTCTTTAAGAATAGGAAACTTGTTCGTCGTTAATGTATCTCACGTGAAATATCATGTGCTTGAGGGACAGAGACACAGGGATCGTCTCAGCTTGAACTGTTGCTAGGAGTCAGTGTCAAGCGTCCAAATCTGGATATCAAGTACTTATTCAAAGGAATTCAAGGAAAAGCCGCTCCGGGCCCTCGAGGTAAATGCCCTTTATTATTCGAATTATTTAAAAGCTCGAAATATGTAGTCCACGTACTATAAAAGAAGTCCTTAATCATTACCCAAACCATTTCCAGTGACTCCCAAACCTTCTCTCCCAACCTTCTCCCAAAATCTCCTCAGCCCTAGGACCTTCGCCCTCGCCGGAAGTTCTCTCCGCTCAACCTTCTTACCCCACGTCCCTTTCCCTGCAGCACCCTCACCCCTATCTACATCCCTCCCAGCAAACCTCCTAACCAACCACCTTACTTCCACCTTTCCTTCCCTCGTCCCTTCAATCTCTCTCTCCTTTTCTCCCACCCTCCCCCTCCATCCCTCCACCCACGCCCTAAGTCCATCTTTAACCCTTTCCCTCTCTACCTTTCTCTTGATCCCCACTAGCCCCGGTGCTACTTTCCCATTCCCATATCCATAGCATTCTTTCGGCAATACATTTTTCTCGACCAACGTCTCGATCGAAGGTCTTTGCCCAAGTTGTCTATTCAATTTTATCTTGATAAGACTCCTCCCCAGACTTCGGGCAGCAAGTGAAGTCCGGGTAATGTATATCCGCCGATTCATGAGATCTGTAAGAGGAGCTCGAAGGGAAAGACAGCGTGACAGGGCGTTGGATGCATCATGAAGACGCTGTGCATGGAGAAGGGGATCGAGGGAAAGAGTTCGAAGGTGATGAGATAACTGGGGGCACAATTATTAATTATTGCTGACGGCGTCATGAGGAACGATAGTTTGAGGGGTTTGGAATAATTGGATAGATATTTTAACTTACTCGTGAAGCAATTAGCAAGTCATTGACGTCTAGATATGATAGGATTTCGAGGATCAACTCGTCCGGAAACTGCGATAAGCTGAGCTTCCCGATATCGTTATCGCTTTTGATCTCGTATCGTAGCGCATCTTCCATCGCGGTAGCTCTTTCATCATTCTGCGAAGCTAACTCCATGATATAATGAATGAAACGATATTCGCAGCTAGTAAGTTGTGATTAATCGAGAAGAAGATGAATTGAATGGATGTCGATTGCCGTGGGATTCCGTCGTCGTCAAGAAATAGCGGGGGTTCATCAAGCTGCTGCAGATGCAGATGCGGTTCGGCAGCATCTGAGACATTCCGAGACAAAGAATGAACGTTTCTGACAAACAAAACAAGCGCAATTTCACTCTATTGACGACAACTTACCTTTTTGCGTGTAAAACTGCTAGTAAGTTGAAAGAAATGTTGATATATTGAAATATTCACATTGTAGATTTCTTACCAAGTTGACTTTGAAAATGGGGAGGGGGTTTTGCTCGATTTTCCGAGCTTTCTTGCTCAAGCCCCTTCATTTGCCTCCGCTTAAGCACACCTGGGTGTTGGGATAATTAATTGATGGAGAAAAGTAGGTAGTTAACATAATTCTATTTTGAGGTCAAAATATATTGTCATTCTCTGCCCCCCTCATGCATTCAATAACACGATACATACCTATGTAAAGATAATCACCTCAAAAATGTAACCCCTCCTTGAATCATGCTACCCTTTCCCTTCTCTCGAATTACTATTAATGTCAACCTTTACTCAAGAGCGACAGCAAACGATTATCCCCACCACTCGTCATCGCCCATCACACCCATGTTCAACACGCAAATTCATTCCTGAGACCCCAACACGACCTTCTATTTTCACACTACACGTCCCTCAGCCTCTCATCTCCCCTAAATCAACACTTCCGGCAACACCAAAAAGTAAAAATCAACCACATGATAACTCCCCCTTCGCGTCCCACAAACCGTCCTTCCTCGCTCTTCGAGCCGCAATCATTTTCCTTCCACCTTCTATCCCCACATGTAGCATATCAGGTAAGGCGCAACTCATCGGTAACTAACAACCCTACAAACTAGACCTACCTACCGACCCGCCAGCACACCTCCAGCACCAGCAAACCACAACCAACCAGCTTCTCTTCATCAGCCCTGCTTGCAAGATTGATGGACTATGCCCAAAACAACTCTATCTCCGATCATCTATAGTGCCCCGTGCGTGCAAATCATGGGTTGTTAGGTACAAAGTAGGTACCATGTTCTACTATAAAACGTGTATATCGTATCCCCATACATAGTGTTCATGTAAGGTGGAGGCGTGTACATGCTGTCAAGCTACTATACGTAGGTACAGTGCATCATACTCGTGTCGTTATGGGGCATGCATCTCAATTGACAGGGCAATCCACTTATTTAACGCAAAACTCCCTATGTCGTTGAGGTCATCGCGAACTTCAATGAAATCTAGTATGCATAGTACAATAGTCAATAGATCGATCAGTAAGTAAGGCGTTCTTGTGATGATAGTGACCCGAGTACAATACAGTACAATACAGTACAATCAATTTTCCATCGCGCAATCAATCGGTCATGTAATCATCGATCTTATTTGCGATTTTTTGTCCTAACCCAACCTACCTCGAAAGGTCAATCCGAACCCTCCCAACAACTTCCCCGTCATCCCAAAAATGCCCAACACTTCGGAAGCGACCTTCTATTTCCTCGCTATTCTCCGTCCAATACGTCTAAACAACATCAATCAATCAATCATTGCAAGGCGACAAGTCAAGATCTTTTAAACTTCCCAAGGCCCGACCACAAGGTCTGGTCTCGACCCCATCCATCACGGTACCACCACTCCCTCACCCAACCAAAATCTCCGTAGCCCACATACTTGCCACCGGCTCCGTACCGGCCCGAGTTTAGCATCGCAGCTTATGTTTGCATAACTATCCATTCCCTAGAATCAACCGGTGTCTGCTAACTCCCAACTAAACTTTTCACGCCTCATATTGATTTCTCCTAGACCGTATCCTAGACCCAGAATCGTCCCGCATTTACAGACATGTTTGATATACTTTTCATCGTAACAACTCGATCCGAGGTCTTCTATACCAAGACGCAGGAATACATGTGCATCTATCTAGTTTCTATCTACTCGCCTCTATATCTGAATCTTACCAATTTTTTTGCGAGCCAGTCATACAGAAATCGTTGACCAAGCAAATCACGCCGATGCAAACGCACTGTAACTCCATTTTGGCAAATGTAAGGTGTCCATAATTCACTCACCTATCTATCCATAGACTACTTGATCAATTGGTCCATCTATCGGCCAAAGATATCATGTCCGAAAATCCAAGATCCGCACACCTACATTTTGCGTGTGTTGAATAGATTACGGCTATCAAAAGGTGGTGTAGTAGTGCATGCATAGAATGCCCGTCCGTTACGACGTCGTGGTTCTAGCTTCCCAGTACTTCGTACACCAAATGTGAAGATCAAAAGAAGGCAGACTTGACCCGACATGTAGCGACCCCAAAGGCGACCAACATATGCAATGTAGCTTGCTGCACACGTTGAATGAATGACACCCTTTCTCATGTTATTTCCTTGCTAGTATCTTTTTCTGATTTCACATACAGACCTCTACACATACTTCATTCTGAATTTCAGCTCGTAAACTCGGTCTACCATATCATGACAGATATACAGGTCGCGTAGGAGGCCATTCAGCTATTGATTCGAGAAGCAAGCAGGCATCTATTCGCACATTGCAAGTTATCTGACCACCTTAAAAAAATAGGACCACTTGCTATCAAGTAAGCACCATCACACATCATATCTTCGCTGCTTGATTAACTAGCTTGTTCATTGACCTGTAGAATCTCGTTTTCTAGAGTCTTACATACAGAACCCCTCATAGCCAATAGCTCAGAGACCGCCTCTCCCGCGAAGCTTTGTCCAATCAAAATCTTCAATTCGCCTTATACCCAGCTTTTCCCGATGTAAAATACCAATCGAGTTTATTGGAGCTCTCATACTTAAGCCAATTGGTCAGTTTGATTCGTCCCTTACCGTAATTCCGCATCACCAATTCAACACATGATTCATTTCAATTCCGAAAGTAAGGTCAGTAGTGTTCGCGCTTTTATCGTCGCGCGCCAAATTTTGTGACCTTCAAAGAGTTTGAAAGATTTGCTCAACGTCGGAAATGGAGTGTCGTCAATGCTAATTCCCGTTTTATTGATGTTTATTGTTTTCCTTGGGGGCGCAGAACTATAAATTTCTCGCTTGTGGGCCCATTGAGGGGCCGTTGTTATTGTTAACTTTATCGTCCGTAAGGAAAGGGGGCCAAAAGAGAAGAAGCTTCAATAGACGTAAACACCGATACAAGCCAATTTTTTCGCCATCAACAATATAACTCATACTTTGGCTCATATCATCATGCATAATTATACTGAGCGGGCTTTCAATGATCGCAGATTCTGCTTGATTTCATCACTTTAGACGAGTTCAGCTGGCTCTCGACTCCCAACCCCTCGTTTTCATCTGATCGGTGTGCCAGGAATGGATAGAACATATTCAAATGTGATAATCCTCAAATAGAATCTGCCTCATTGGAATGCCTTTCCCTCTAACTGGCCCCAGATAGAGAGAAGAAATTGCTCATCAATCGAAAACTTCCTGATAGCATATGATAATGACACATAAGATTGGCATAACACCACCATATGAGCTTCGAGATACAGATTCCCTGACGCACGCAAGTACAACGTAAAGTAAGGCAAAGTAGAAAAATGGCCACTCAGCTCCCATCTTATGTTTGTGATATTTGTGTGTCTGGCTTAACCATGGACTGGCTGACACCTGCCATGCGAACACGACAGAAGTGCTAGATATCTTTCGCCCCCGAAGATGCACATCCGATCTTAGAATCACATAACGTTGGTGTGATGACTTCATTGCGTTAATATTTGCCACCTTTACAACGAACAACTGCGCTGAATTGCCTTGTCCTTGACGCCCCATAATATCGTCTTTCAAAACATGAATGCTGACTATACTGATATGGTCCATCAGAAAGTAAAGGAAGCAAGAAAGATGATTATCATTTGCATCATCGGGTCTTTCCTCGAATGACCATTCAAGAGTAATCTGAAGGATTTACGGCAAATCACCACTTCCCTTGAGAGAGGACAAAATAAATTTGAAGACCGGAAGCGATTAAAAAGTGAGGCCGCATATTCCAGCTAGAATATGACAGAATCATTCTCCGGCAAAGAAATACGAGAGAAAAGAAAGGTGGTGTGTAACCTTGAGAAAATGCTGATTGCAGCCCGACAAAGCCGTAATTTGAGAACCTCGATATTGTAATCTAGTTGCGACTTGTTCGGCCAAACCTAGGTCGCCACGTCAGTGACCATCCGAAGCCCTTCATTGGGACCATATCTCTCCAAGCTAATTGCGTGGTGCATCGTGTTAACCAACAGCTTAGCGAAAACATTGTAGGTGTGAGATGCACCGTGAGTGGCGAGAATTTGTGACATCTTCTAGCTAAGCAGATCGGGGTATGCTGGTTTGCAAACACATTGTATGGATGATCTTTTGCTTCAAAGCCTCGTCCATATCTGACAACACATTGATTTCTGACCACCTTGATCTCGGCAAGACGGAACGGACTCTCAAACCAATATGCATATCGAGGCCGTCTTCTGCACATTCTGCGGCCATGTAAATGTTGCAGAAAATAGAACAAGCATTCGAGGTGGCTTGCAATCACCAGACTGTAAAAATATGTCCTGTTATCAAACACCCCTTTCAGGCAGATATGGCTCGATTCGAATCCGGCCAGGAAGCAGGGAGTTATCAACATGTGACAATATCTCAAAGCGAAATATGCTGGATTAAACGTCTCGATATCAAGGATATAGATTAGAGAAAGAACGAGAAAAAATATACTAGCCAATAGTAGTCTACTACGATAGCCATTTCATGAGAATGATGATGATCGACCGACCATCGTTTGTGATTAACCTCCGGATGGTTTGGAATAAGAAGCAACCGGCAATTGTGTGATAGCTTTGGGTCGATATCTCTCCACAAAGGAGGTTGTTACGGTCCGTCCTTGGGTCTAGCGGGTCTCTCGTTGCAAGCAGAGAACGGATGATCCAGTAATCAGGAAGAAGACTTGTGGCAATCAGTAAAACCAAGGAAATGACGGGATAGGAAATTCATAACGTGATTCCCATAGCGTAAACTTCTACACTCAGCAGGGGGGGCACACGATGTTGCAACGGACTGTGATTACCGATGCAGCAATTCTAACATGATGAAGTGTCCACCCTGTCGAGACGAGAGAGGTAAGTGAACGCGAGGCAACTTGAACCAAACATCGGCAGAGGGTAGGAATACGATAGGTGCCAGTTCTTCTGGCGATTGAGCCAAGGATGTAATTAGTTGCATGTATGACTTGGTGAGAAAGGCACACAAATATGCACATCGTTTGTTGGCTCGAATGGAAGCGTGGAAAACTCGAGGGGGCTAGTAGACAAACACGCTGCAAGGCTGGGAGGATTGTGACGGCGTGGTTGTTCGGACCATAAACAATGTTGTCCAAATCGTGTATAAATACTCCTCTGGATTTCCCCAAAGGTCGAATAACCCCCATCATCATCAGCATCCTTCAAAGCATCTCAACAAACAATCTTTCAACTCTTTCTTGATCTCAAAGTGTCATCGCCATCCAGTATAACAACCTCACTCGAGACATCATCAGACGTCGTCTCTGATCTCAAACATTCTATCGATAATATATCCGTACTTCGGCCAGTAAGTTTGAGCCATGAAGTCTTATCGTGTTTCATATGGAGTGTTGTAAAGAACCAAGACTAATGTTAATGGTGACACATAGCTCCCTTCAACATGTGTTTTTTCGATCAGTGCCAATTCGTCTGTGGTGACTACAAGTGGGGCCACTTTCGACAACATTGTGCCAAAGAATACCGTACAGGCGAGACCTGCGGCATGAAATTAGTCATGACCACATACCAGAGTCATGAAAAGTGCAAGATTTGCACGAAGATCGAAACAAAATGGGGCCGTATCCAGAAGGAGCAGGAGCGTGTACTTCGATGGAAGAAGGAAAACGGAAAGAGTCGCCAACACTCAATCGAGGCGTCAGAGGAGAAGATCCGGGACCTGCAACAAGAGGTCAATAATCTCGAATGGCAACGCTCGCAGAATGCTTTAGCATTGTGAAAGGTAAGAGACCAATCGCTTGCCCGAGTGATAATATTTGATGCTAATTCCTTTCTCAGTGAAACTTTCCACACAACACGATAGTACAGAACTAGCGAACTATTTTGTCGCGTTTCGAACTTTTTTCATAGGGTTGTCTTTCTTTTGATGGAGTGAAATGATGGAAAGGAAGAGTGGTCTTTCTTTTAAGGATGTATTGAAAACGATTGGTTTCTGGAGACAGATGAAGGAATCGTTCTGGAATTAGATAGTCTCACGACTTAATGATGAAACGATCATTTGAACAAGTTCCTTGAAATTGCCAATGACTTGTGGATATGGCTGTATTCTGTTAATCGAACCGACAATCTGGTCAAATGTTGAGGGGCCACTTGATGTTGACCGGGCGCTTAGATGAAGAAAGTGGGCGGCTCGGGAAATTAGTGCATGCGAGCTGAATGCAAACTTCCTTGAACTTTCGGGAAATTGAGGCACCATCCGGAATCATAAAAGAAGATCATATCAAAAGACTTGTCGGAGAATTTGGACGTCGATGATGATCAATATCCATACGATAATAAAGAGATCCCACTTGAGTGTTCCTTCTTGTGGGTCGCGATCTATATATGTACGTAGCCAAGTCTCGTTCTGTAGGTATGTGTTGTGATGCTGTGTAAAACTTTTCCTATTGCAATTAGCCTAATGTGCATACTCAACCATACACACCTGATCGGCAAATTTATCATCACTGAACAGTTTTCTTCATGAAGAGATTGAAATAAAGATACGAATAACAAATATATATATGGTAAGAAGAAAGGAAAGAAGTCGAGAAACGCTTTCCAAAAGAAAAAAAATCTTCAACAGGATCCTCCATTCCCTTTATGAATTTCAGACTGAATGAACTTGAGTGTAGTAGTAAATTGTAACGTGGCTAATCCTCAATGGATATCTGTGCAGCCTGACTGCAGAGCATGAGAAAGAGACATGATAGGCTCTGATTCATGATCAAGTAACCAGTAGGCAGGCGCTTTTGAGAAAGGAAATGCTTGAATGATACAACGCATAGTCAAATTACGCTTAGCTGGTCCAGTCAGAAGTCGAATCCAGATACTCCTCATGGGAAACTGCGGCAGCATGATGGGCCGTGGTATGAGGATATTGTAACGACCTTCCCAACTCCAATACGCCGTGGAACACAAAGATGCCCGTATAAGTTCGAATCCATGTTCTACTCCATGGCCGACTCTGCATCTGCGAACCCTCCTAATAATGGTCCTACGTCTTCTGATTTGACCGGCTTGTACTTCTTCATTTCCTCCACATCTTCATCGTCCGATGCCCAACCATCGGAAATCGGGTGGGTACCTTCGACGGGGGTTTGTTTTGTATTGCTCGATCCGTCCTGTGATGGCATCTTGGCTAGAACTTCCTGATACCGCAATAGTCTTGCGTCTTGACCATTATACATAGTGACGGGTGCTCGAGGGACATTTTGGGGGACCATGGCGAAGATATCAACGAGATGACTGGCACAAAAGTTAGTTAGAGAACTCATCAATGCAATCGAATAGTTGGTTCCACGATGTGCAGTTTATGGATTGAGGGGTGTCGATGTGGAAGAAACGTTTGGAGCATACGTACTTGGACGTTTGCGCTACGACCCTTTGCAAGGCCTCTGTCTCCCTTTGAACTTCTTGTGGATCTGATTGAATGGCATTTGAATCTTGGTTCCCGAAACTGCCGTAATGATGAGGATGTGCATCGTTTTCAAATAATAGCCTTTGGTCTTCACCCTATTTGCAAAGTCGTCAGCGACTGCTTTACTTTGTACATAACAGGGGAAATCAAACCTCGTCCGTCGAATCCCGATTACGTTCCAACCCTAGACAAGAAGAACAATTACCCATTGTTCCTAAGCCTTTCCGTTTCTCTATCTTCTGGCCTGTCTATCTCCAACGACTCAGGGATAAATTGATCCCATACACAACACCAACTGTACTACCTACAATCAACCATCGACAGACGAATTTTAGGGATCAAAACTCGTGAGGATCGCGAATATCCAGTTACGCGACGATGGTACTGGATTTAGATTGTCTTTGCGAAAGCAAGGTGATGTTGATAAAATTATTCAAAGAAAGCATTTCTCGACTTTTTGGAAGGAGAAGGATGTTTCGATAAGAAAGTTGATCATGATGGAGATCCAACTTCCCGGCTAAATTACGGTTAGATATCTTTAGTGATTGGGTAGCCTTCAAGGTACTAGTAAGCAAGCTGACTGAGCAACCAAAAATATCTAATCATCACTCTCTTCATTTATTGTCACTACGAATAAACCTCACATGTACGTATTGGTAAATTCACTTCCAAAGTCACGCCTTTCTCATTTGGAGTACTGGGTCCTGATATCATAAATACCGTAACTGATGTTCACAGTTCAAGAATAAAGCTCCGCTAGGCCACTACCGTGGAGGCTTTGTCGCTTCGCTCTGGGAGAGCAGTTCTTTCTATCTTCACTAGTTCTATGTAGGTATACATAGTGAATTCAAATAGCGCCCCCCTCGTTTCTTTAAACAGCCGAACAAGAGCAAAGCGAAAAGATCTCCGCGGTAGTGATCCAGCGGAGTGTCGCTAATCCGTCTTCCCTGGCCCAACTTTCCTTTCCTTCTCTGTTCAATATGTTTCGTCCATTTACAGGTATCCGACTCATCATCCCTTTATTAGACTGGTTCAATATCCTCCCATCAAGGAATCCTCCCTCTTCCCCTCCACATGGGAACAACTTCACGTTCTTTTGCCGGGAACATAGGATTATGTATGCTCTTAACAATATTGGAATCTTTCAAAGTATGCTTTGGTTCCTTGAATAATCTATCGCCTCGTCAAAATATTATTGCGCTTTACACCCGCTGATGGACAACTTTTGACTGCTGCTTCGAGGCAAATTTCTTCCACACAACAAAATCAAGCATGTTCTGGGGGTTTGACTGCAACCCCTTTCATTATCTATTGCTGCAACGATACTGGAGAGAGAAAAAGGATTATCATTTGGAAATGTCCTTGCTCTGCTTGTTTGTTACTTGACGAGATCTCATCCCTTGCTTACTGGCAACCTCACTTTGCAAACCCCCCTTCGTGGACGTATAGACCTTGCCTGAATGTACCGGATATTTGTATCTTTCCTGTTGTACACCAATCTTCTCCCTTATTTTCAATTTTCTGAGTACCTGTAAGGCAATGCAATATATTGATCGACGATTGCTTTCCTGTGTCCCCGACGTCCTAACATATCACCCTTGGTATTTTGTGACATTTTATAAGAGGGTGCTTTTTCTTTTTGAACACTTTTATCAGCAAGATCATCTCATCATAACAGTCATTCATTCATTCATTCACTCATTCTTTTCGATTGTGACGGTCTTCATTCCTTCGTCCGTTGTTCTCATCGCTTTACATCGATACCTTTTTTTCTTAAGTACCAACACTATCTTATAATATTTCTCGTAAAAATGTTTCGAAGTCGAAACTTGGCTGCTTTAGCAGTGCTCGCGCTATCGGGATCGTCTCTGAGTAAACCGGTTGCAGGCGGATCATGGGTTGGTGAGACATGTATCTGTCCACCTTCCGATTGTCTACCAGTTGTCACCTCCTACACCACCATCACGACTACTCCCGTTCAAACTGTCACTATCACAAAAACTATCAGTCATGAAGTGACCTCTCCAGCAAGCACAACCCCCAATCCAAGCACGGGTCTAGCAGGGGCACCATCTTCACCAATTGTCATTTATACCCCTTCCACTACTGCCCCACCCGAAACCACCGTCAAGACGACTACCGTATCTGGCTCTGAGATAATTGTCACTAGTACCATCACACCAAGTCAAACTCCACCGCAGAGTACTATACCTTGCGAAACGATCACCCAAACGATCACAACTTCAGGAACTGTCATTGTCATAACCACCACTGTCACACCTAGTCAGACTCCTGCCCAGACTGTCACATCAGTAGTTGGAACTCCAATAATTACGACTGGTATTTAATTTCCTTGATTCTTCACAGCCATTTTATCACAAGATCTAACAAGCCCAATTTTAGTACCTGGATCTACCATCACGACCACTCTACCTGGCACGATCATCACTTCAAGCATTCCTGGATCAGTCTTTGTTATAACGAAAACTATCCCACCAACTACTGAAACCACTGTCATTCCTTGCGATTCGACTCTCACGGTAACTCAGACAGGAACAGTGGTCAGAACAACTCATCCCGTCTCTACAATTACCTTCACAGAATCTGGACACATTGTAACTTCCACGTATCCACCATCAACCTTATACGGGACGTATACATTGAATATCTACACGACTGTTATAACAGCTACAACGATCATTAAAACCATTTCGGCGAGCACGTTAACTATAACTCAGACTGGTGAAATTGTTCAAACCACTGTTCCAGGTTCTACCTTCATCACCACAATTCCCGGATCTGTCATAACTTCAACCGTCACGCCTATTCTAGCCACTACAATCCCTCCCTCATCAACATGTCAATACGATCCATGCCTCAAACAAATGCTAGAATCCTCAGCCGTCGCTTCATTCTGCGCTACCTATACAGCAAGTGTTCACACGGTTCCAATTTCCCTCCCAGCCTGTGTCTCAGAATGTGATACTGCACCAGGTGCTCTCTCATCTGCTTGCTCATGTCTAGTTGGACAATATACTCCTCCTCCAGCTGTGACTTCTACCTCTGTCACCATTACAACTACCTCAACGATTTTTGACCCATCGTTTACACCCACGGCTTCTTCGAAGTCTCCATGCAAACACTGTACAGGGGTTCTCACAATTCCCCAACCCTCTATAACCCCATCGAATGGAATATGTTCAACGGGTCTAATTCTCTCTACAATAACTACGACTACTACATTCATCCAAATCCTTACAACGACAAGTAGTATTTCAGTCTCACCACCAACGGTTCATATTTCTAGCTCCCCAAGTCCTTTCAATGGCACGGCAACCCTTTCTTCTGCCAGTCCTTCCACTGTTGTCCTCTCATCGTCCATCATTCTATCGACATTGATTGCTCCCTCTTCTTCTGCGCAGATCACTACTGCCTCGTCATCTTCGTCCAGGGTCGCATTGTGGTAAACCCAAAGTTTACCGACCAAAGAATGAGCCAAACAACGAGATATAGGCGCGAGGAGGCTTACACTAAGGAAACGAATCATTGTTTGGACTCGAGTTTGATATAGTGTATCGTTCTGAATTTGTCTCTTTCTTTATTTCTATCTCATAACGTTGTATTCGTTTTAATTTTAGTCTGGTGTCGTCAGGTGTGAAATGGTGGGAATCGTGTGTTATGATTATGATGGGAATTGACATAGATAAATATGATTAGATTAATTTGATAACTGTTTCCTCTTGAATTTAATGTCCCTAATGTTGGTATTTATTTCAATTTTTATTCTGAGTCTGGAAAATTCTTCTTCCCAGGCCCCCGGTCTGTGGTCTTGTCCAGACTCATTCTTCTCTCAGAGGCACAGCATCGTGAGACGCTATCCCAGAATGATCTGCAAACCTGGGAAGCGATTCGAGCAATGTTCTAGTTTATTATGAACTGGGGCGAGATGACGACTTTTCTCTGGATGATAGCTGAGATTGTTTTGATAAGAACGGACAAGAGTGTCCAGGGAGAAGTAGAGAGCATGTGAGCTTGGTTGAGGTGTTTCCACTATATCCTTAAATTTGATAGGGTTGAAGAATAAGATATCTCAGACCTGGGCTCTCAAATCACTTTTTTGCTATTGCATGACAGTTAGGAGGGGGGGGGGGGGGGGGGGGGGGGGCGGTGTTAAACCCAAAGGCACTTGGACTCTCAGAAAAGTTTTTGTAACAGCTAGCTTTGACTGCGATTGTCGGTAGAGAGCTGATTCTCAAATTTACAGGGGTTCACATAGTCCGAACATCCACTCAGTAGCCCAGAACAGGCTTTGGAACATAAGCATCCTCCAAGTATTTGCTTTCCTGTTCGGTAAGTTGAACACTTAAAGCTCTTATACCATCATACAAATGCTGTTTGTTGTACGATCTACAGACAGGCGCCATTCATTCCTTTGACATAATCCAAGCAATCGCAATGATGGCCATTCTAACACCCCTCTTACCAGCCAATTCTTCTGCCCTTCGTACAATTTCTTGATCGGACTCATGATGCCTGCGACGGAAGAGTAACTTCAAGATAATATCAGTTTTTTCACGTTCATCGGTGCGATCTTCCCAGGAGTCGGCGAGCACACCAGCGGCGAGTGGCGACCAAGGAAGGAGACCAATATTAGTTTCCTTGCAATGTGCGTTCATTTCGCGCTCCTATTCTCGGTAGGCAGATTGTAGAGGCCTTGCATTGAGATGAACTTATACCAGTTGTGTTTTTCGGCCATGTTTTGCGCCATTTGGAACTCCCAGGCTGCCATCTACCATAACAAAATTAGTCAAATTCGTTGTAGTGATCCGAGTACTTCAGAAGACTTACAGAGCTTTCACCTATATATCTAGCCTTTCCACTCTCGACGATGTCATTTTAGGCTTTCATGGATTCTTCGAGTGATACTTCGCGACCAAGACGGTGAGTTTGGAGAACTTTAATATAAATACCGAGGCGAGAAATGCTGGCGTCTACAGCGTCGAGGATGTGCTTTGTTGATAGTCCGACTTGATCCACCTAATCACCATCGTTTATTCCTTGACCAGCGGTATCAACAGCTCCTCTCGCAGGATCAACAAAGTTGAACACCTTGGTCATGATGACAACCTTGTTTCGAGGGATATTGTACTCTTTCAAGAAGGCGCCAAGGACCTCCTCTGAGCGTCCATTGGAATACACATCGGCGACATCGAATATGTTGATACCAGAATCACATGCATGCTTGAGGATAGGGAATGCCTCTTATTGAGTCAGAACCCAGGGTCGTCAGTTCTTGTCACCATAGATCATGCAGCCATTATAATCTTGGGGACTTTGAGGCCAGAGCTTCCATTCTGTAAATGATGTTAGCTTCTGTTTGGCCATTGATTCGGTGTGTAATGAGCTCGAGCATACCTCATGCATTTCATTTTGGTGGATATAACTAGTACTAGGCTGCGCACAAATTATCTGTACCCATGGATTAAGTCAACTACCCCACTTTCCGACCACCCCCTCTTTTCGACCACCTCAAAAACCACACCGCTTTGAGTAATTATAAAATTTATACTTTGAATAACTCAACAATGCTTTAATCAATTGATTTGAAATTTTGATATTATTATAATTGTGATATTAAGAATAGATATACCGAAGAAGATATCGCAGAGGCTCTTAGAGCGATTACAAATGGAGCAAGCATACGAAGAGCTAGCTTGGATTATGGTGTTCCACGTACCACACTTCACGATCGAATATATGGTGGAGTTTCGCATCAAAAAGGCGCCCAAATACTTCAAAAGTTATCTCCAATTCAGGAGAATCGACTAGCAGAATGGATATTAGTACAGGAAGCTCTTGGTACTAGCCCTACACATCGTCAAATCAGAGAGATGGCAGAGCACCTCCTTATTGTACGAGGGGAGGATCCCTCACTTGGAAAGAAATGGATACATAGCTTTTTTCGAAGGCATCCTAATATTGGAACTAAGAAGCAACATCAAATCGATTCTGCACGAGTTTCAGGTGCTACATCTGATATTATTAAGAAGTGGTTCCGGAACCTCGCAATCCCTGAAATCAAGGCTATTAAGCCGGCCAACAGATGGAATATGGATGAAGCAGGTATAATGGAGGGTCAGGGTCTTAATGGACTAGTAGTAGGAAGCACTGATCGAAGATTTATTCAAAAAAAGCAACCTGGATCTCGAATTTGGACCTCTTTTATAGAATGCATTTCAGCCAATGGAAAAAGCATTACTCCCCTTGTAATATATAAGGGAAAATCAGTTCAGCAACAATGGTTTCCAACAGATTTGACTCTATTCAAGGGTTGGAACTTTACCGCTACAGAAAATGGATGGACTACAGATGCTACAGCTTTAGAATGGCTGAAAAAGATCTATATCCCTCAAACTACCCCTATTCAGCCGGAAAATTCAAGACTCCTCATTTTGGACGGACACGGAAGCCATGAAACTACAGCATTTATGTTAGAATGCTTTAATAACAACATATATCTCTTACTTCTCCCACCACATACGTCACACGTACTACAACCACTCGATTTATCTGTGTTCTCACCCCTAAAAAGTGCATATCGAATCGAACTTAATAAATTAAGTCTATTATCCGATTCCTCACCAATTGGAAAGCGCAATTTCCTTTCTTGCTATCAGAAGGCTAGAATAGAAGGTTTAACTATTCAAAATATCAAGTCTGGGTGGCAAGCTAGTGGTCTTTGGCCCAAAAATATGGCTAAACCTCTTATGAGTCGACTTTTGCTTGAAAATAGCAATAGAGAGGTTTTATCACTTAATCCTGAATCTGATGATGATCCTATTCTTCAATGGAATATATATTCATCGTTTATTCAATGGAAAACCCCTCAAAAAGGAGCCGATATCAGAAAATATAGAGATATAATGATTCAAGAGAAGGAGATCGATTTGCCAACACGAAGATTACTATTTCGCAAGATTATAAAAGGATTCGATGCTAAGGATTATGAACTCTTAGAGGCAGAGAATAAGATTAGAAAGCTAGAATATCAATTAGATGAAGCATTACCTAGAAAAAGGCGAAAGGTTGTGGTATCTCCAAATTCGAAGTTCGCAGGGATTAGAGCTATAAGGCGTACACAAATTGAAGCTGGAGATCGTGAAGATGAGGTAGATGATAGCTCTAGTGCTATAGAAAGTGATTCTACAGGCGATTTCATTGAAGTTCAATAGTTATTGAGTTATTAAAGTTTTAAGTGTAGATAATATGAATTTTTTAGGTGGTCGGAAACAGGGGGTGGTCGGAAAGTGGGGGTAGTTGACTTATCTATGAATAATCCATTCTATAAGTTATCCGTTAGAGGTTCTACTTGTTCTATGGATTATTTATTGAAGCTTTAAAATTATTTATTCTATATAAATAATCCACAGATTATCTACAAATAATTTATTTATCCATAAATAAGTAGATTATTTATAAATATATAGGTTATTTAACGTGATTTATCAGTGTGCGGGTCATATCAGTGTGCGGGTCATTTTCACCTCAATTCACTCTTTCAAACTCATATTATTCAACAACCATTGAATCAATTGATTAAAACTATGAAAATTATAATAATCTAGGATCTATTATATTATCTTGACAAGTTCTTGCATTATGTCCGGTCTTTCCGCATTTACTACAGCATCGACTAGAAGATGCTTCTTCATTAGAATTCCTCCCTTTTTGACGCTCGTCGCGTTGAATCTGAATATCAACCTCTTGTTGAGATAATATATCAAGAGCTTCTTGCCCAGTAAGTACTCCTCCTTGACGTAATTGGGTTTTTTTCGCGCGTCGACGCTTGCTTAATGCCTCATTTGCCTTTCGAAGTGTACGAATCTCTGCATTCAAAAGTGTATTCTCATGAGCTAATCTCTCTGTACCTTTAGCTAGAGCTAGTACAGTCTCAAATATAGGTGTAGGGGAGCTTGATTGATGTCGGGTTATTCGAGATTTCACTAAAATTGATTGAGAAAGAGCTTCAGTTGGGTTGTGAGGGGTTTGAGAGATCCATTGATCTAGATCGAAAGAGGGAGGGGTAGGTGTACGAATTCGAATATCTAACTTCGAAAGTACGGCTTCAGGGTTAAATGGTATTAAACCTGTTCCTCGAAATCCTGATTTCATATTCTGAGAGATGATTGATTCTTTATATGCAGCTTTAAAAGCTATAAAGAATTCAACCTTCGAAATATGATTGATATGTGCCTTGATAAATCCATCAATTTGACCACCATATGAACGTTTCAGATTGCTAAAACAGCCCACATCAAGTGGTTGAGTTAAATGACTTGAATGCGGTGGTAGACTTAAGCATATAATATCGTTCTCTTTGCAATATGCTTGAAAAGCTCTTGATTCATGGCTTTCATGCCCGTCTAGTACCAACATTCGATACCTGCCCTTTCTTCGGTTCTTAGTGTGCTTGTCGAAGTGTTTCAACCATTCTAAACCTGTCTCATTGTTTGTCCATCCATTAGATGTAGGTTTAATAGCCCAATCCGCAGGAAAATCGGTTTCGGTATACCAATTGGAAAGATGAACCTGTCCTTGAACCACTAGAAATGGGGGTATAGTTTCACCCTCCCCATTGCCACATATGATTGCTGTAGCCCATTCTCTATTGCCTGGTTGTATTGCCTTGCTTCTGCCATTCCGTTCAGCACTAGTTACTACCATTCCGGGGCATATTATACCCATCATAAAGCCCGTCTCATCGAAATTGTAGAAATCGCCATCCAAAATGCTGTATTTCGCTCGCATATTCGCAACCAATCGAAACCACTCTTCAATAAGCTTAGGATCTTCGCAGAGAGCTCTTTGAAAGTCATAAACACGACTAAAACGCGTCTTTAATTCGATTCGACGCTTTACGAATCGATGCGCCCAGAGCTTCCCAACGCGCTTTGCACCCCTCGATTCAAGAATATGATTCGCCATATCTTCTACATTTCTTAATTTAGGTGGAAATCCTCTCAAATCCATATCAATTATATATTCAGAAATGATATTCTCTTCTAGTTCTGAAAGATTATAAGATTTAGGTCGATATTCGGAACGGGAAGTAATACCATTAATTCTACGCTGTAGTGTTGTATTCGAGATATTATATATCTTTGCAACCTTTCGAATACTTGTTTTTTTGTCTTTTTGAATAGCTTCGATAGCGAGGAGTATACGGGCTTCTTGATTATTCGAATCCATTGTGGATTGTTGATAAAAACGCGTATTGAAAGAGAATAGAGTGAATTGAGGTGAAAATGACCCGCACACTGATATGACCCGCACACTGATAAATCACGTTAACCTTAAAGGCAGTTCCCATAATAGATTTTAACTTTTAATAATAGAATCTATAAACTATTAAAACTCTCAATATTATATTTAATAATAATATATAAAATCTAAATTAAAAAAAATAAGCTTGAAAAACATTAATATTAAAATTATTATATATTAAATATCTTTCAACTTACTTTTATTATATACTTATAAAGTCCTTATTAATCGAAATTTTATATATAATAAATTTTTATAAAAATAATAATTTCTAATAAATTATTTTGTATATAAATCAGTATTAATAATACTAATTTTTAATAATCTATTTATAAGTATATAAAACTTATAAATTAGATTTATATAGCTTATAGTTATTGAATTAAAGCTTATTAGGATTTATTCATTAGGATTTATTTATTAAGAATTATTTATAAATTTTAAAATCTATAAGAAAGTTTATAATAAAATTTATTAGGGATTTTTAATTTATAAAAAGACTTATATTAAAGAATCACAAGTATAAAGCTCATTAGAATCAATTTCATTATAATTAATTTTTCAATATAGAATCTTTCAATATAAAAATTTTCAATATAATTTTTTCAATATTAAATCTTTTAATATAAAATATTTCAATATAATTCTTTCAATATTAAATCTTTTAATATAAAATCTTTTAATATTATTCAATATTATTCTTTTGAAATATAAAATCTTTCAATATTAAATCTATCAATATTAAATCTTTCAATATTAAATCTTTCAATATAAAATCTTTGAATATAAAATCTTTTAATATAAAACCTTTATAAAATCTTTAAATATAAAATCTTTTAATAAAATCTTTCAATATAAAACCTTTATAAAACCTTTATAAAATCTTTTAATATAAAATCTTTCAATATTAAATCTTTTAATATAAAATCTTTATAAAATCTTTTAATATTATTCTCTTAAATATTTATATTTTATTAACAATCTATTAATATTATTTAATATTTATCTTTGAAATACAATTACTTTTTTAATATATATTATAGAATCCTATAAATTATAAAATTTAAGCTATATATTAATCTTTATATTAATCTTTATATTAATCTTTATATTAATCTTTATATTAATCTTTATATTAATCTTTATATTGATTTTTAAATATAAAGCTTTTAGTATTTTTATTAATATTCTTATTAATAATATTCTTAATATTCTTATTGATAGTATTCTTATTAATATTAAATTTTCGATTATATAATTAAATTATTCTATATCTCTTTTTATTAAGTTATTATTTCTTATATCCTTTTAAATTTAAACTTTTTTGAAACAAATATAAAATAATGAATTCAAAAAATAATTTAAATTTATTTTCAAAATTCGATATATAAATGAAAATAAATTTTAGGTCATTAAAAAGTTTTATTCAATTTATTACTTTTTATTTAATTGAAAATAATAATTAAATTCACTTATTTCATAGGTTATTACCCTTTTGTTTTCGAAAACTATTATAGCTTTTCTTTAATTTTATTAACTTTAAGCTTTAGGGTTAGTAATACAGATCAATCAATATTGAGAATATCAAAAATCTATTTTTATATATAAATAATTTAATTAAATCTTTATTCATTACTTTTTTCAAATTTTTAAAAAGTCTAAAATTAAAGGGTAAAGAGGTAATAACCAAATTCATTTATTTCATAAATCATCACCCTCTTATTTTCGAAAACTACTATAGTGTTACGGGAGCTGCCTCTAGGGTCACGTGGAAGTGTCTAGAGATCTCTCGAGGTGGTTTAGACTAGACTTCAAGTAGGAATTCAATAAGGTTGGTAACTGGTTGCAATTCTCGTAACTATAGTAATGAAACTAATGATTGTTCTTGAGCACGAAGCTCTACATTATAATGAACGTCCTGTCACATGACACTCGTCACGTGATCCAATGTTACCCGTCGTAACAAAATCCTAATGGGGAAGTATTTTCTAATAAATACTGTAGTAAATATAAAAAATTAGGTTATAATTCAAGAACTTATTAAAATAATGTAATAGATTCTAGATTATTAGATTCTTAATAATTTCAATCAATTAATATAATGGTTGTTGAATAATCTGTATTCGAAAGTATGAATTGAGGTGAAAGTAATCCACATGCTGATATGGCTCACATGCTGATAAATTACGTTAGCGAAAAAGCATTAAAAGTTATTAATTGGTCACCACCTCTTTTAGCTTCAATTTAGAGCTTTTCATAAATTAAAAAAAAGAAATCTATAAAGATTTAACTGAATTATATTAATTCAAAATTAAAACCTAAAAAGCTTTTGAATTGAAGATTTTATATTGAATTGAAATAACCCTAGTTTTGAAGAGATTGAAAGGGTTGAAGAAAAGCTATGGTAATTTTTTAAAGGCAAGGGGGGTGGTGACCAGCAAAATGAATAAATCTGGTTACCACTCTAAATCCAATATAAAATGGAAATTTAATTATTATTTTATAATAAATTAGGGTTTAATTTTATTTATATATTGAATTCTGAAATTAGACTTTAATTATCTTTTAAATTAATTGATCTGTACTATTTCTAAAAAAGCTTTAATTTGTAAGGATAGGGGGGTGATGACCAGCGAAAAAGAGATCATTATTCTATATGGGGTAATTATTATTATTATTATTATTATTATTATTATTATTATTATTATTATTATTATTATTATTATTATTATTATTATTATTATTATTATTATTATTATTATTATTATTATTATTATTATTATTATTATTATTATTATTATTATTATTATTATTATTATAATTAATATTATTATTACTAATATATATATTTAATTCTAAATAGTTTCGAATTAGGAAACTCGTAGGAAAGTAGATGAAAACCCGGAGG